GGAATTAGAGGTGGTCATACTATACCTGAAATTGGGTGTACCCAGACAAGCTATATGTTTACTTATTCTCATGAAGAATTAGTGGGCTTCTTTAAAGAATATTTTTGCTTTATCCTTTTGTTTGGATAAAGAAACAAAACCAATTCCTTATACTTTGTCAAGAATAATCCATGAAAGCTGATATAGAATTTTCACTCTCTTAAAAGGATGTATTTATTCAAATGGATAAACCAGTTGTTAAATATATCACGCTCTTGAAATTTGAACATTTCACGAGTATAAGGATTTTGAACCCAAAAAAGTAAAATAAATCGTGTTGTATGCTTCTTTCAGACTATTTTGGCCAAAATCAAAGTGTTATGATTACTTATATCAAGAAGCAGAAACTCTACTGAAAAACTTTCCAATTCAAGCCACAATTTCTTTTTATGAAGATTCTGATAGTGAAGATGAAATTGAGGAGCTGGTCTGTGAGAATGAATCTGATTAGTTACTGTTAATAACATTCAAAGCTTGTAAGGTTTAAATATAGTGTATAAATGTATCATAATACTTTAAATTATTTGTATATAATTTATTAATAAAATAAAATATTTTATAATTGCTATAGTAGTTTGAACTTCTTTGTCCATACACTATAATTCAATGATACAATTTATAGTCACCATTTACAAATATTTTGGCTATATTTTCACCACTTAGGGTTTACAAAATATAGTTTTGATCTCTTTGTTTTAATCTCTTTAGTTTTGAAATCAAATTACAACTTTATCTTTAATTTATTACTCATTTCTTTTTTAGATAATAAGGTATATTTGATTTTAAGCAGTTTCTGAATTCTTACATATTTTCCAGCAGATATGTATTTGTCAGTTGAAGAATACCTTAACTCACTGAAAATAGAAATAAACTTTAGGCTATTTTAGAAATCTTGAATGAATGATGAGTCAAGTAATTCTCACTTAAACAGTTTTCTGCTGTGCTTAAATGCAATAGAAAAAAATAGTTTGGATGTTCACTCTTGATGACTACACAGAGAATTCCAGATTAAAACAGAGTGTTTAAATGGGAATGATTTCACTTAATCACTTAACTTCCCGTTAGTCGTCGATTTGCTCGAGCGGGCGCCAGTAACGTCTCCATTTGTCCCTGTCGCGTGCTAGTGTAGCCCAATGGCATCTCTTCGCTCCGGGAACATGGAGGGCCTCAAACCGATCGTTCATGACCTTGACAAAGAAGTCTGACCATCTGGTAGGTGGGCGGCCACGCGGTCTCTTGACATCCCGTGGAATCCAATCAGTAACAGCTCTAGTCCAATGGTCGTCTTTAAATCTCATTACGTGACCAGCCCATCTGATTTTCGACACCTTGGCAAATGAGACAGCGTCCCTGATCCTTGATCGTCGATGGATGTCAGAACTCCGGATTCGTTCTCTCATTTGAGTGAAACGTGATATTCCAAGCATAGCTCTTTCTATTCTTCTTTGGGAGACCTGAATGGCGTTCTCATCTTGTTTGCGTAGGGCCCAGGTCTCTGAGGCATATGTTAATGCAGGAAGAACAGTGGAATCAAAGAGATGTGCCCGGAGCCGGAGGTTCTTCGTCCTCTTAGCTATTTCTTCGACGTTCTTGAAGGCGTTCCAAGCCGCTCTCTTCCTCCTGCGCAGCTCGGGTGCCAGGTCATTTGTCATGTTGACCTCTCGACCTAGGTACACATAGCTGTTGCATTCGGAGATGGTCGTTCCATTGAGAGCGAATGGGGCGTCAGGAACAAGGCTGTTTCTCATAAACATTGTCTTCGTAAGATTCAGCTGTAGTCCTACCTTTCCACACTCACGGTCAAAGTCGGCCAGCATTTGTGCCGCTTGGCTGATGTTTGGTGTTATTAAAACAATGTCATCAGCAAAGCGGAGGTGGTGTAGTTGCCGACCATCTATCTTCACTCCCATTCCTTCCCATTCCAGTCGTCGCATGATGTTCTCGAGGGTGGCACTGAAGAGTTTTGGTGAAATGGTATCACCCTGCCGCACCCCTCTCTTGACATCAACGATCACTTCTTTGTAGAATGGTGAGATCCTGGTAGTGAATCCACAATACAGCTCACGGAGGATCCTGATGTATTGGGCTTGAATGCCCTGATTGGCTAGGGCTTCAATGACCGCTTCCGTCTCAACAGAATCAAAGGCCTTCTTTAAATCAATGAACGTTAAGCAGAGCGGCATCTTGAACTCCCGAGAAACCTCAATGAGTTTGGTTATCGTGTGGATATGGTCGATGGTGCTGAATCCTTTGCGGAACCCTGCTTGCTCACATGGTTGTCCTTCATCTAGTGTTCTGCCAATCCTATTCAGGATGACTCGAGTGAACAACTTGTAGATGACAGATAATAGGCAGATCGGGCGATAGTTGCCAATGTCATGGATGTCTCCCTTCTTGAACAGTAGTACGGTCCGGGAATGATTTAAGTTGTGTCAAAAAAAAGGGACCGCAAAAAAAAAACAGTATTTGATAGTATTTTTCTATTTTTGTCTCAGTGGTAGTTACTAAGGCATTTATTTGGCAAATGAGACAGCGTCCCTGATTCTTGATCATCGACGGAGGTCAGAACTCTGGATTCTTTCTCTCATTTGAGTGAAACGTGATATTCCAAGCATAGCTCTTTCTATTCTTCTTTGGGAGACCTGAATAGCGTTCTCATCTTGTTTGCGTAGGGCCCAGGTCTCTGAGGCATATGTTAATGCAGGAAGAACAGTGGAATCAAAGAGATGTGCCCGGAGCCGGAGGTTCTTCGTCCTCTTAGCTATTTCTTCGACGTTCTTGAAGGCGTTCCAAGCCGCTCTCTTCCTCCTGCGCAGCTCGGGTGCCAGGTCATTTGTCATGTTGACCTCTCGACCTAGGTACACATAGCTGTTGCATTCGGAGATGGTCGTTCCATTGAGAGCGAATGGGGCGTCAGGAACAAGGCTGTTTCTCATAAACATTGTCTTCGTAAGATTCAGCTGTAGTCCTACCTTTCCACACTCACGGTCAAAGTCGGCCAGCATTTGTGCCGCTTGGCTGATGTTTGGTGTTATTAAAACAATATCATCAGCAAAGCGGAGGTGGTGTAATTCCTAAGTTCTGGTTTCTACTCCTTTTAGGCTTGTAAATTCTCAGTGATGAGCTTTTCTTGCATAGATTTATAGAAGGCATCATCGATTAGTGAAAATAGGAACACTTTGCAAGTAAAGGTTACATACTAAATATGGTAATAAATTCTATTAGCTTGAATCTAAGCTTTTCACAATAAACGTCATAACTGCATAAATACTCCTGATAGGCTCCAGGACCACATGGGATGCAGGAAACCTGGGTCAAGCCTGCATCACTCTGGACCTAGATCGCTGAGTTACTTTGTGAGGAACGTTTTCCATACGAACCTGACTCATTTTTTGTTTCCCTGCTAAGAAACATTTTCCCAAAGTCTAACTCTTAAACATAGCTGTTCAATACTACAATTCGGGGCGATTTCATTTTTGACTTTCAGGGAAAGTAGAATGAGGAGAAAGGAAATAGGAAATTAGAAGAGGGGAAAGAACTTTTCTAAAAAAGTTTAATTAGTGAAACACCGGGCTAGAGCGATAGCACAGTGTTAGGGCGTTTGCCTGCACGCAGCCAACATGGCCGACCCGAGTTCGATTCCTCCGCCCCTCTCGGAGAGCCCGGCAAGCTACCGAGAGTATTCGATATGCCAAACACAGTAACAACAAAGTCTCCAATGGAGACGTTACTGGGCCCCCTCGAGCAAATTGATGAACAACGGGAGGACCGTGACCGAGGACCATGAGTGAAACACCATGAGGTACAGTTGTAGACTTACAAATTTTTGTGTTTGGGTTTCAGTTATACAATGATCAAGTACCCATCCGGCCACCAGTGCCCATTCTCCACCACCAATGATGCCAGTATCCCTCCCAGAACCCCCCTCCCCATCCCCCCATCCCATTCCTGCCTCTGTGGCAGGGCATTCCCTTTTGTTCTCTCTCTCCTTTTGGGTGCTGTGGTTTGCTTAAGAGGCGTTGAGTGGCAATCATGTTCGGTCTATAGTCTACTTTCAGCGTGCTTCTCAAGAGGGGAAAGAACTGTCGCTGGAGGAACAGGAGACAGTTCGATAAGGATCTTTTGGTTTGATTTTGTGGCCACATCCAGCATGACTCAAGGCTTACTCCTGGTTCTACCTCCAGAAATCACTCTTGGAGGTGCTTGGGGGACAGGAGGTGGTGTCAGGGATCAAACCCGGGTAGGCAACGTGTGAGACAGCCACCTTATCCGCTATACTCTATCACTCCCTCCCCGGAGCGAGGATTTCTTAGTGAAGTTTTCTCTTTGTCCCACGTTTGGCACTGCAGTTCTCTAGAGGCTCTTTGCAGTGTATGCCCCCGTCCCTTTAAGCAGTTTCCGAGCAGCAATCGGCCTGCCTCGGCAGCCGTTGCCTGTTTCAGCAGCAGCATCACAGAGTTTGACAGACAGACACCTGGAGGTCAGCACCGAGGCGGAGGGACAGCTGCGCCTCCGCCAGCGCACCGAGGAGCTGTCCCGGCGCCGGTGCTGAAGCTCGCTCGGCGCGCAGCACGCCCGGAAGCCGCGCGCCTTCTAGCCCCGCCCCGGCCGGAAGCCGCGCGCCTTCTAGCCCCGCCCCGGCCGGAAGCCGCGCGCCTTCTAGCCCCGCCCCGGCCGGAAGTCGCGCGCCTTCTAGTCCCGCCCCGGCCGGAAGCCGCGCGCCTTCTAGCCCCGCCCCGGCCGGAAGCCGCGCGCCTCCTAGCCCCGCCCCGGCCGGAAGCCGCGCGGCTCCTCCCCGCGGCTCCGCCCCCCGCGTCCTCGACGTCGCGACGCGCTACGTCACAGCGCGCCTGACCCCGGGCGACCCCGGAAGTGGGCCGGGCGCTCGGCCGCTGCCCGGCCTGCGTGCCGGAGTGGCCGCTGGCTGCTGCCCGCGCTGCGGGGTCGGCGGTGGGCCCCGGTGGGGTCCGGCCCAGGGTCCAGGATGCTGAACGTCCCTTCGCAGTCCTTCCTGGCGCCCAGTTCGCAGCAGCGAGCGCCCTCGGCGGGACGGAGCAAGGTGAGCGGGCCGGGGGCGGGGGACCCCCTGGGACCTCGGCACCCCGGCACCCTGGGACCCCGGGACCCCCGCACCCCGGCACCCTGGGGCCCCGGGACCTCAGAACCCCGGGACCCCGGCAGCCCGGAAACCCGGCACTCCGGGACCCCGGCACCCAGGGACCTCAATATCCCAGCACCTAGGGACCCCGACACCCCGGGGCCCCGGCGCCCCGGGACCCCGGCCAGCGCGTTCTCTCCGGCCCCTCTCGGACCAGCTGCCTGGAGCCCCCCGCAGCCCTCGCGCCCCCCGCCCTTGCCCCCGATCCCACCCTGGTCGCGCCTCTCCCAGCCCCCGGGAGCCCCCCGGGGTCTCCCGCCCACCTGCTGGTCCTGTTTCCCCCCATCCCTTCTCCCGGGCTCCTTGCCTCTGCCCCCCACGCCTCTCCCAGTGGACTCCGACGTGCTGGGACAGTCCAGGGTCTGATCTTAAGTCAGGATCTGTGTCCTGTGCTTCACCCTGGAGAAGCACCTGGGGACCAGAAGGACTTGGTTTTTCTTTTCTTTTTTTTTTTTTAATTAGTGAAACACCATGAGGTACAGTTGTAGACTTACAAATTTTTGTGCTTGGGTTTCAGTTATACAGTGATCGAGTCCCCATCCCTCCACCAGTGCCCATTCTCCACCACCACGGGTCCCAGCATCCCTCCCACCCCACATCCCACCCTGCCTCTGTGGCAGGGCACTCCCTTGTGTTCTCTCTCTCCTTTTGGGTGCTGTGGTTTGCAAAAGAGGCATTGAGTGGCAATCATGTTTGGTCCACAGTCTACTTTCAGCATACTGAAATGTTGGGAGGATCCTCCTAGGATGGGAGAAGCATGCAGAAAGGCTTCTTAACCGACCTGCAGGAAGGGTTGGCCCCCGCGGCCACCACCGGGATCTGGATGGAAGCATCCCTCCAAGTGTAGGGGGTCTTGGGGAAGGAGAGGGGATGGCACAGAAACCCTGCGAGCCTCGGGTCAGGGTGGAGAACGCATATCTCAGTGATATGGAGTGTTTCCATCCCTCTGACACCTGCTGGTTTCATCACCGGCTTTCCCCCTATGTACCTGCCGATCTCGAAGCTCAGGTGACAAGCACCCGCTCGAAGTTTGTTAGGCTAGCTGCTATAGGCGACAGGTGGATGCAAATGTATTGGTAGACTCGCGATATAGAATAAGGAGGCCTTATTTTCGTTGCAGCATGAATGTTACTGGCTCCTCTGACGTGTTGATTTCTTGTTCTGTGACCACAGCTTCAGTTTTGTTTTCGAATATTTGACCTACTTGGGCTAGTGTTTTCCTTCATTTCAGGGCTTCTTCATTTAGGTCTTTTTCATTTTAGACAGTTTCCTTTTAGATCAGCTCAACACACTTTTTTTTTTCTCCACCATAGACTTGGAGATTGACTCTTGATCATAATTCTGGCTTCAGACGTCTGTAGCTTTCTTTTCAGAAGTGGAAAGCCCAGATACCCTGATAATGTGGCTGAGGTTTTATTCGGTACTTAAAGAAACCACGTAACATCTAATTGTTCTAGGTGCTATGCAGGCATTGATGAGATCTTTATAGTGATTCTACAAAGGGGCTGCTTTGTTATCTCTGTTTCACAGAAAAAGGAACTGGTTAAGAAATGTCGCCTTTCACATGAGAAAATGCTCTACATCATTAGTTATCAGGGAGATGCAGATCTAAACCACAATGAGATACCATCTCACACCACAGAGACTGGCCCACATCCACAAGAACAAAAGCAACCGGTGTTGGCGCAGATGTGGGGAGAAAGGGACTCTCCTTCACTGATGGTGGGAATGCCGGCTGGTTCAGCCCTTTTGGAAAACAGCACGGACGATTCTCAAAAAATTAGAAATTGACTTCCATTTGACCCAGCAATACCACTCCTGGGAATATATCCCAGAGAGGCAAAAAAGTACAGTCAACATGACATCTGCACTTGTTTGTTCATTGCAGCACTCTTTACAATAGCCTGAATCTGGAAAAAACCTGAGTGCCTGAGAACAGATGACTGGTCAAAGAAACTTGGTACATCTACACAATGGAGTACTATGTAGCTGTTAGAAAAGATGAAGTCATGAAATTTACATACAAGTGGTACAATATGGAAAGTATCATGCTAAGCAAAATGAGTCAGAAAGAGAGAAACAGACAGAAAGATGGCATTCATCTGGGGAACATAAAGTAACAAAATAGGAGACTAACACCCAAGAATGGCCGAGACTAGTACCAGGAGATTTACTCCATGGCTTGGAGGCCAGCCACACATGGTAGGGGAAAAGGCAGCTCAAATAGAGAAGGGAGCACCAAATAAAGGGTGTTGGGAGGTTTCTCTCAGGATGGGAGATGCGTAATGAGAGTAGACTATAGACCGAACATGGTTGCCACTCAATGCCTCTTTTGCAAACCACAGCACCCAGAAGGAGAAAGAGAACAAAAGGGAATGCCCTGCCACTGAGGCAAGGGTGGGATGGGGGGGATGGGGGGTGGGAGGGATACTGGGATCCGTGGTGGTGGAGAATGGGCACTGGTGGAGGGATGGGTATTTGATCATTGTATAACTGAAACCCAGGCACAAAAATTTGTAAGTCTACAACTGTACCTCATGATGTTTTACTAATAAAAATTTAATATATATGTAGCTATGCAAAAAAAAAAAAAAAAGAAATGTGGCCTTAGACCCTTTAGACTTGATATGCTCTGACAACAGCTGTAAAATTCAACTTTTGCTCTCTATGTCATCCAAGTGTGTTGTTTCCTCTTTGGCAGTTGAATTGTTGCCCAAGCTAAATATGGAGAGAATCTTTGAATTAGAGTATGTGTTGCCACCTCTTTTCCATTAAGTGATCAGTTGCGCCCTCATTGTCCACTTAAAGTAGAAAACTTAGAGGCACAGATATGGTGTCTCTTCGTATCCCTGATTAGCATGATGATGACGATCTCCCTTAGAGTTCCATCAAGATGTGGTTTCTGTCTTCAAGGACTCTTAAGCCTAACAGACAGCATAGACTAGTAAATAGGCAGTTATACATGCGGTTCGACAGGAAAACAGTGTTACTGTAATCAGGAAGGTTCTAGAAATGCCACTGCTCCGTGGGGCTGACTTAGCAGCGAGGTAGTAGTGGAGCAGTTACACTGGCCTGTTTCCTGAAGCTTGCAAGATGGTTGGACTCAGGTCCTCAGAGGAACCATTTGTCCTTCTGTTCACAGGGAGTGAGCTTTAAGTTTTATTTCTTTTTCTCTGGGCCACACCCAACTGTGCTCTGGGCTTACACCTAGCTACGCACTCAGAGATCCCCCCTGGCAGAAGCAGAAGACCATTTAGGGTACCAGAGATAATGCAAGACAGGTGCCTTACCTACTGTACTATTGCCCTGACCCCTGGAAGTGTTTTTTATAGGGAACAACGGTATATAGCAAGGACGGGCTGCAGAGGGGTGGGCCTAAGTGATTAAGCTTTCAGCCTAACTTTATCTTGGGCATTTGGGAAAGGACTGGATGAGGACAGCTGCTCCTGCCCTGAGGAACTAGCTGGTTTCTAATTTTCAATTCGGTTCTAAATTTCTTTAGGGCTATTATCATATTTAATTAAATAAATATTAAACAATGGGAGGACCGTGACCGTGATTATCATACTATTATTATTATTGTGGCTGCAAAGGGGTTGAAGTCAAGGCTTCTGGAGGAAATCATACAGGTGCGGGGGGGGGGGGGCGGGGGGGGCGTCGGGGCGTTGAGGGGAGGAGGTTGATCCTAGCAGAAGTTTTGGAGTCGCTGGGGTGTGTCTGGGAAGAGCAGGACTAGGAAAACAAGTCAGAGCTCCACCCAGGCTCCGCTCTTATCTCAACATCCAGGAAAATAATTTCCAGAGTGTGTGTGTGTGTGTATAAATATGTATATGTGTGTGTGTATATATATATATGTATACATACGTATATATATATATATATATATATTTACAGTGAACTTAATTGGTTTTGTGCAGGGGTAAAAAACAGAAGTGGGAATCCCACAAAATCAAAAAAAGGAATATACATCCCCAGTAGGGATGTGGGTGATTCCAAAGTGAACGTTCCACGACTTGCTCTTGTAATTGCAGTGTCGGGTTTAGAGTGTTTTCACGAACTGCTTTGGTGCAGGGACTCTTAGATGAGACTTCCTTGCTGGGATTGGTCAAAGATCAAGGATTTTAAGCCTTTTCAGGTGATCAGCTTTTAAAGCCTTACCAAGCCTTCGCTCCTGCTGGATTGTCTGAGTGTCAGCTGGGGTCTTGAATCGTCTTAGAGTGGTGCTTGGGCTGGTTTTAAGTCTGATTGGGTGGTTTTACTCTTGAGCCCGAGACAGGGGCACGGCAAAAAACAAAAAACAACCCCCTCAAACCCAAAAATCCTTTTCAGAGCACGTCTTTATTTGATTCCTTGGGAACCCATTGCCAGAAACCCTCTGCCTGCTTGCCTCAGTTTCGTGTCAGGCAGGAACATCAGTTCCAGCTTAGCAGAAATATTTCAGGGAGGGAACAAAACTTCAAATATTGATCTAGTGCAGCAAATTATGGCCATATCATGAAGGAGCTGGTAAACCACTCTAGGGAATTTAGAAATATTAGAAGTCATGTGGGTCTTTATTTGGCAGAAGGGATGAAAGCACTCGCTGAGGCCTCTTTTATAAAGATCCTAATCCCAAGGGCCCCGTCACCTACTATAAACCCTATTTCTGATACTGTCACTTTGGGTATTGGGGTTCGATTTATGCATGAATCCGTGGGGGAACAAACATTCAGCCAGTAACAATACATTTCCTTGAATGTAGTTTTACATTCCTGTAATACTTAGGTTGCAGACTAGTTATGCCTGTTAGACAACCAAATCCTACAGAAAGAGTTTGAAACTGCTCTACAAGGTTGTCTTAATTGGTGAAAATATTTGTGATATTTTTCACCTAAAAGCCTTCAAATTGTATTGCGTAAATAAGGAAACAAAAAATTCACACACACACACACACACACACACAAGCATACCATTATTAAATCTTCCAGGCAGGGTAGGCATTTTTTTCCCCCCACAAAAGGCCAGGTAATACAAATTTTGAGAGCCACAGAAGACTTTAGTCTCTTCACCACTACCACGACATCTGTTAATTTCTACCAGCTGTTTATATTTTCGTATTTCCCTTTCAGGTATTTAATTTGTTTTCTTAAAACATTTGAGCCATATTTAGTGATGCTCAGGGGCTGTTCCTGACCCCGCTTAGGGGGGTGGTCTCTGTAGTGCTTGGGGGACCTTGTAGTGCCACCTACATGCAAAACCTGTTCTCAAGTCTCTTATATGGGAGTGGGAAGGTGGAGCAGCAGATAAACTGGTAATCTAAGGTTAAGTTAATCAGTCATTTTAATCTCACTGCCTGAAAAGGGATGCAATGAAAAATGGATAATGGGCTGGAGTGATAGCTCAGCGGGGAGGGCGTTTGCCTTGCACATGGCCGACCCAGGTTCAATTCCCAGCATCCCATAGGGTCCCCTGGGGGTGGGAAATAGTAACAAGAAACCCCCAGCAAGACTACCCCATCCCCCTCTCCGCTTTCCTTTCTCTTTTTTCTATTCCTTCTTCCCTCTCTCTGCTCTCCCCCTCCCCTCTTTCTCCTCTCTCTCCTCTCTCTTCTTCTTGCGCCTATGCCCAGACAGACAGGGATCTTACATGAGCATCTAACCTTGGCCAGAGACTAAGGAAATGAAAGACATCAAGATACATACAGTCTCTGATGCTGTGGTACAGTCCCTGCGAGGACCAGTGATGGGTTACAAAGCACAGGTCACAGTGTTCCCGGGATCAGGTCGGGCAGATTTCGGATCAAGAACACAGACACTGGAGTCAAGAATGGTGTAGGAACAAAACTAGATCATGAAGCACTAGAGATCAAGACATTTGGATCTGGCAGAGAGAGCCGCGGCATGAGAGATACACAGGGGGGGCCCAGGCCTATGGTCTTAAACTGTGCAATAATCTTTGACTTTTTAAGCATCTGAGTTTTACATTCAGATGCTCTCATACAAAGATCGTGAACTCACTAACTCAGGAATAAATTCACTTTTGCTTTGAGCTATCTCTCTTGGTCCCTCTTTTTGTTTGTTTTTTGACTTTTTTTGGTGGGGGAGGGGGGCATACGCAGAAGTGCTTGGGGAGTTACTTCTGGCTCTGCACTCAGGTTCAGACGACTCCTGGCAGACTCAGGGCACCACATGGGAACGCTGTACCTGTGTCAGCTGCATGCAAGGCGAGTACGCCACCTACCGTACTATTACTTTCGTCCTGCTTTTTACATTTTTGAGGTGAAGGAGTTTTGGCCGAAGTTTGTAAGTGAGTAAGTAACATTTCAGAGGCAGAGCCAGACTAAAATACGTTTGCACTTCAGGTTCAGTCCTCTTACTGCTGTACTATGATAAGCTTGGGATTCACATTATGCGACAGAATTTTCAGTCCTCGCCTCATAGACCAGGTATTTTGTATAACATTCAACTTATAAAGATGCTACAGCCAAAGTGATTTTTACGACTTCCAAAGCTGTCAGGAGATTTGTAGAAATGCGAATAGGAATAGTGACGAGCCCCAAGATCAGAGGCAGGAGGTGGAGGGCGAAAGGCAAGTAATTCGAAGAGGTTCCGCTAAATCCCTCCCTTTCCCTTCGTAGGTCCCTCTGAAACAAGGCAGAAGCCTTATGGATTGGATTAGATTAACCAAAAGTGGAAAGGATCTGACAGGACTAAAGGGAAGGTTAATTGAAGTCAGTGAAGAAGAGCTTAAAAAACACAACACAAAGGATGATTGTTGGATATGCATACGAGGTAGGTACTCTGTATTATGTTCCAAATGATCTCGTGACCGAGCCTTCCAGCTGTAATGCTGCATAGTCTAATGGTTCCATGATATGGTACTATGACTCGCAACTGGAGCGAGAGCACAGCGGTAGGGCGTTTGCCTTGCACGCAGCCAACATGGCCGACCCGAGTTCGATTCCTCCGCCCCTCTCGGAGAGCCTGGCAAGCTAGCCAGAGTATCTCGCCCGCACGGCAGAGCCTGGCAAGCTACCCATGATGTATCCGATATGCCAAACGCAGTAACAACAAAGTCTCCAGTGGAGACGTTACTGGGCCTGCTCGAGCAAATCGATGAACAACGGGAGGAGGGTGACAGTGACAGTGATAATGACTCTCAACTAGATATAGAATAAGATTAGCTTTATAACAGACAATAAGTTCTGAATTTGGACAGTATTTGTAGCTGATTTTCAACGTGTCATTCCTATAGTGCATTCCCTCTGAAAGAGAACAAGCTGCTGTCAGGCAGTTTAGCACCTAGTTTAATTTAATTGACAGTTTGATTCTCCTAATAAGTGGTGTGTGTTCAGTAATGCCTTGTTTCTATAGAAGAATGTTTCTCCTTTGCCCTTTATAATTGGAATAAAGAGAAAGAGTATCTCAGTGTCAGAGCAATAATACAGTGGGTAGGTGTCAAAAACTCCGAGGGCAGCCGGGGGGGGGCCCCAACGGCTCTTCCCCGGCCGCCCAGGTTCTGGGTGGGCCCGGGCCGCTCACCCAGCCAGGGTGGCCCGGGCAGACGGTGGGTGAAACGTGAGCCAAGCTGGTTGGTTGATCCGTTGCCGTTGATTCCATCCTCCCCACGCGCCTGCCCCAGTCTCTCTGAGCCCCCCATTCTAGTCTCACGCTGCCCCCATTCCAGTCTCCTTCTGTCTCTCCCACTCATCTCTCTGCGCTCCATCTCGCAGCCTGGCACATTCTCTCTCTCTCTCTCTCTCTCTCTCTCTCGCTCGCTCTCTCTCTCTCGCTCTCTCTCTCTCTCTCTCTCTCTCTCTCTCTCGCTCTCTGTGATTATCCTTAAGGTCACTGGTTTAATTGTTACTTCCAGTCTGCTGCTGAATTCTGCTATTTTGTTGTTTGGCTCCTTCTGTTTTGTCTCCTTTGATTCTTGAATTTCTTCTCATCGTTTTTCCTTCATAGAAATTCTCTTCCAGGGGTTTCCTCAGTTCAGTGATCAAGAGCGTTCTCTGAGCCCACCCTCTGGAAGCGTGGCCAGCTCTGATGTCCTGTGGGGCTTTTCTGGGCTTGTGTTCCCATCTGTTGGTGCAGCCACAAGTCCTCTGCTCTTTCATTATTCCCGGTGCCTCACGGGAAGTAGGGGTGGAACTTGTAGTTCCCGGTGTTTCGAGCAGCAATCCAGGGCTTCCATTTGCAACATCAGGCTAGCGCCTAGGACTCTCTTCGTTTCTGCCAACCACAAATGCTTTGTGAGCGTGGCTTAAGTGTTTGCAAGATCACTTGCATTGCTGGAAATGTTAAACGAACAGACCAACAATTACCACAATCAGCTCTGAATTGAATATCTTAATGGTGCTGAATTATATAAGCACGAAGATGTAAGAAACATTTTTTCAGAAAAATAAAAAATGAGGGTTTAGTACCAGCAGACGTAGACTATAAGAAGTTCTAAAGGAAGCCCATCAGTTTGGTTTTCTTTTTCTTTTTCTTTTTTTTCAGTTTGTTCCACTTAGTTTGTTTGTTTGTTTCTTTCTTTCTTTTTAAATTTATTTATTTATTTTTATTATTATTGAATTGCCGTGAGATAGTTACAGGCTTTTCTGTTTGGGTTACAATCACCCAATGATCAAGCACCCACCCCTCCACCAGTGCATATTCCCCACCACCAATATGCCCGATATACCCCCCATCCCCACCCTCCCCCTGCCTCCATGGCTGACATGATTCCCCAGAATCTCTCTCTATTTTTGGGCATTATGGCTTGCAATACAGACACTCAGAGATTATCATGTTTGGTCCTTTATCTACTTTCTACACAAATCTCCCATCTCGACCGATTCTTCTAGCCATCATTTTCGGAAGCTCATCAGTTTTAAGGGTAACGATAGCAGATGGACATTGATGTCCTTAGGAAACGATCACTGGATCACTTGTCATCCTGTTACACATCGATTTGCTCTAGCAGGTGCCAGTAATGTCTCCATTCATCCCTGTCGTGTGCTAGTGTAGCCCAGTGGCATCTGCTCGCTCCAGGGACATGAAGAGCCTCAAACCGATCATTCAGGGTCTTGACAAAGAAGTCTGACCATCTCGTAAATGGGCAGCCAGACGATCTTTTGACGTCTCATGGAATTCAGTCGGTAATGGCTCAAGTTCAGCAGTTGTTTCCAAATCGCATTACATGTCCAGCCATCTGATTTTCGATGCTTTGGCAAACGAGGCAGCATCCCTGATTCTTGATGACGGAGGTCGGAACTCCGGATTCTTTCTCTCATTTGAGTGATAGGTTAGCGCTTACTCTGCCATCTTTCTGGCCTGAATAATCACTTTGAAAAGAATGCTAAGAAGCAAACATTTACAACTAAAATAAAATAAAATAATTCTTTTTTTTTTTTCTTTTTTTGGTCACACCTGGCAATGATCAGGGGTTGCTCCTGGCTCTGCACTCAGGAATTACTCCCGGCGGTGCTTGGGGGACCATATGAGATGCCAGGGATCGGTCCTGGCTCAGACGCGTGCAAGACAAATGCTGTACCGGCTGTGCTACCACTCTGGCCCCAATAAAATAAAATTCTAAAATATATTTGGTTAGCCCACACTAAGGCAGGGAAAAAGGAAAAGACACACAAGCAGAAAACTTGCTAAGGAGGAAGACTAATGTATCGTCTCAATTCCACATTAATATCTAACATAAGTATAAATAGACTAATCATTCTAATCAAAAGATAGTCTGCATGTAGATGTGTATCAGGATATAACTATATGATTTCTGTAGAGATGCACTTAAGATATAGAAGGATGGAAATAAATGTGAAGAAAACAATTGTTACTAAGTAGGGCCGGAGCGATAGTACAGTGGACAGGGCATTTGCCTTGCACATGGCTGACCTGGGTTCGATCCCTGGCATCCTATATGGTCCCCCAAGTACCACCAGGAGTAATTCCTGAGTGCAGAACCAGGAGTAACCCCCGAGCATCTCTGGGTATGGTCCAAGAAAAGCAAAATAATAATAATAATAAGTAGTATAGTAAGGATAATACGGTTGTCCTATGTTAATCTATGATAAATACTACCAGACAAAGGCAAAGATTACTAGAAATAAGACAGTTTGCAGTGTTGTAAGAGTTCATTAGTGAGACAGATTATGACTATTCACAAAGCTTTGGAATAGATGAAGCAAAAAGGTGCTGAAATATAAAATGAAAATCCACAGTAGTTATTTTACATATCGACACACTCTGACCTCAATTGTTACAACTCAAATAAAACGGGTAAAATAAAATACCTAAGATAGGGGCTTGATATAGTACTGGAGGGACTGCACCTTACCTCCAGTACTCTCTCTCTGTCCCCTTCAGTGTTCTTTGCAAGAAGTATTGTTTTAGGTACAGAAATTACTTGTCGTGGCTTGTAACTCTGCAGAACATCTTCACAGTGGTTGAGGTGGGAATCTCAGGGACACCTTTTAGAATTCGACTTACTGGGACCAGAGAGACACTCTAAGAGTTAAGATGCTCCCCTTGCACACAACCAGCCCTGATGCATTTCTGCCACTAGCTGTGGTCTTCCTAGCACCTCTAGGAATTGACTTTTCAGCACAGAGTCAGGAGTAAGCCCTGAGCACTGCCGGACGTGGGCCCAAAGCAAAAATACTAATAGTGACGTAAAAATAAAATGTGCAGTGTCTCGGTTGAACACAAGATGGCAAAATAGTCACAGCATTTGCAAAAATGACCTGGGTTTTTCAGTATAGTGGTACTACGATGCCATTATAAGAACATTATTTTCCCCCTTAATTTTTTTTAAGTTAGCAATCTTATATGCAGTCAACAAAAATTCATTTACTGTTTATCACTGTGTGCCAAGTATTTGCCTCTGGTTTTCAGTATTCATACTTCACTGTTTACCATTGCGGAGTGTATTTACTGTGGGAATTTGGAGTTAAAGTTAATTTTAAATCTTATTGCAGAAATAATCACTTTTGCATATCACATTGATTCTGACTTTTTGGTTTTAAGATCTCTTTTAAAATTTTTTTAAGGGCCAGGCCAGAGCAATAGTACAGTGAGTAGGGCGTTTGCCTTGTACACGGCTGACCCGGGTTCAATCTTTGGCATCCCATAACGTCCCCCAAGCACGACCAGAAGTAATTTCTTAGTGCAGAGCCAGAAATAATGCCTTAGCATCGCTGGGTATGATCCAGAAAGCAGACACACACACACACACACACACACACACTACACATGTACTCTCCCCCCCCCCCCCCCCACTCCCCCAACTTTTTTAAGGACCTTGGATCTTAAAGAGCTTTTGTTTATACACGATTCTCCCCTGGCCTGGCCCTCTCCTTGGTAAGCTTAGTTCTGTAAGACCAGTTCTAGGTTCTGCTTCCTTTGAGCCTTCGGTATTCCCATTATAGTTAGTGATTTTATTTGTATTCCTCATTTTTGTCTGTTTGAAACGGGGTAAGAAATGGTCTTTGGGTTCATAGTGATCAGTCTTAGTCAAAGAAAAGTAAGAGATAGCAGAGGCATTTGAGATTTGAGGCATTTCAAAGATTTCTGTGCTCATCCCAGATAGCTGTTATCAGTGTTTCTGTTTGTTGCTGAAGGAAACAATGACATTTCAGCACATTAGATGATCGATCCTGTTTTAGATTTCATGTTCCTGAGAAACTGAACTACAGTGAAAGCCTGATTGCAGACGAAGTTAGGAGCTCCTATATTTGCAGGGTATTTTGAATGTCTTAAAAAAAAAAATAACTTGGCATTTGTACATTTTGGAACATTAAATAGGAAAATGCCTCCTAAATTTGGCGATGTGAGGTTTATGGGGAAAGGAAAATGAGGAAACTCTTCAGTACTATGTTGTTGTTGTTACTAGACGTATTTGCGTGGATGCCCAAACTTACAAGGTGTACCTCCATTTGTGCCTGTTTTCAAGAAGTTTTATAAAGAAATCTGGAGTACACTGGTAGGAACATTACAGTACTTTTCTTAATTCTGAAGTTCAGGCTCTTCTTCCGTTCCAGTGTTATTGTATAGGGTGAACACTTTTAAGTCACTGTGGTCACTTGAATGCCTGGAAGTCATCAAATAATCAATAGTCCTCCATATAAGGAAGTTCGTTGTTCTCAGTGTACTCAGATCCTTAGGGTAGAATTACTCTACGGTCTAGTTTTGATTTTACTTGTTTTCAGTTTTGCAGCCACACCTGCTGTGCGCAGAGCTTACTCCTGCCTCTGTGCTCAGGGGTCACTCCGGGCTGAGTTCGGGAGAGTCATATTTGCTGCTTGTATCGAACCTAGGTTGGCTGTATGCAAGGCAGCACCTAACCCCCTGTACCATCTCTCCGGCTCCAGTTCTTTTAAGCAAAGGATTTTGTTTTGTTTCGGTGCAACGTCCTGAGATTTCTCAGGTCTTACTCCTGGCTTTGCACTCTGTAATCACTCCTGGCTGTGCTTGGGGAACCATCTGGGATGCTGGCGGTTTGGCAACATGCAAGGCAAGTGCCCTACCTGCTGTATTATCTCTCTGGCCCCAGGGATTTTTTTAAACAGAATAAAAAACACTTCCTTTGAAACGCTAATCATCAACGTATTTCTTTTTCTGTGTTGGTCCCCGTTCCTGTTTTTTAAGAAATACAGTTAGGTATATGCACAAATGAAATAAATCTATTAAAATCAATATTTTTAAAGGATAAAATGCGTAATTGAGATGGAAACAATAATCCTTTTCCCTGGGGCTGCTGCAGACAACCATTAGCTGGCTTTCATGAAACAGGCCCCAGTGGTCAGTCACCGTTGCTCAGCCTTTTCTGAGACAGCAGACGCGACTGCTTCTCCCCTTCCCTCATCCAGTTCTTTCTGAGGGCAGAGATAGGTGATAGAGTGGAAGTATTAGTGTGTTGTGTTCATAGATCTGTTCTTCAAGCTTTAGTGCGAGTGTTTCGTTCTTCCCTTCTGCTTAGAGGACGTTCATCATCGATCTTCTGTTTTTCTGCACATCTTGTGAGCAGAGCTGCTGTCTTTGTACTCGATAGTCTTTTTAGGGTTGTTTGCATATCCTGTGGCCCCCAAAACAGACAAGATAGCATCTCCGTTTAGAAGAAAAGACTGATCTAAATGAACGTAATAAAAATAATGTGTCCTCCCAGAAAGGACAGGCATACTTCCTGCCCGTTATGAAAGATTCCCATTTCCAAAGTTCTCGCCTGACGCATGACTCACTGAGTATACAGAGGTTATCTTGTCTCCTTTATATATCTCTGCGGAAATGGAGTTCCAGGAAACACCTGCAAAGGCTAACATTCTGGGCACGAATTTTTGTTTGTTTTTGTTTGAGGGCTACATCCACAGTTGTCTGGTCTTCCTACACCTAGTTCTGTACTCAGGGATCGCTCTGGTGATTCTCGGAGGACCATATGGGTTGCCAGAGATTGTACCTGGACCACATGCATCCAAGGCAAGCTCCTTGCTGGCTACACTCTAGCTCTGGTTCTCTCGTCACCACTTTCAGGGTGGTGTCCTACTGTCCTGTGCTTCTGAAGCAGGAGCTCAGGTTATCTGCCAGGACTCAAAAAACAGGCAGACTATGATTCATTTGTAAGGGTCGCATCTGATCGCATCTCAGATACTTTTTATTCTTAATAGTTTGAAAAAAATCATGATCTGCTCAGTAAGATTATTGGTAAAGGTGTATTTATTTATTTATTTATTTTGCTTTTTGGGTCACATCCAGTGATGCACAGGGGTTACTGCTGGCTCATGCACTCAGGAATTACTCCTGGCTGTGCTCGGGGGACCAAATGGGATGCTGGGAATCGAGCCCAGGTCAGGCTACCCTACCCACTGTGCTATCCCTCCAGCCCTGGTAAAGGTGTACTTAAACTCCTGTTTCTAGTTTGCTTCTTTTCAAGTAAGTTCCTTTAGGATATTGTTTCTCCTTGCTTTGCAATAGGGCTTGTTTATAACGTCAGTCCATATATGGAGTATCACCCTGGTGGAGAAGATGAGCTGATGAGAGCAGCAGGAGCAGACGGAACGGAACTTTTTGATCAGGTAAGAGGTGGAAAGTGAGTCTAGCCATTACGAAGAAGCAGCCAGGGCTCTTGGATGGAGCAGCGTGGCATGTGTGAAAAATAACTGTAATCGCATAAAGTGCGGTTAGCTTGAATTTTTGAAATTCTGGAGAATGCTTGCAAATAACAGCCATTTATTTCATTTGCCTTTGAATTTTATAAAGTTTCAAAGGCAGTTTAAACCGACTACGACAGTGCTTCTAAGGGCTTGAAGCCACCTCTTGTGGCAGGTGTTTATTTTATTTTAGTTGATTGTGGTAATAATTATGATTAGATTATAGGAGGCAGGGGTGGTTAGAGGAAAGAACAAGCCATGCACCTTTTCTGTGCTTTTTCTTTTCTCATTTGTGTTAATAGATGAATAGATAATATAAATTTTCTAAGGCAGCAGCAGAGAACCTGTGTGTATGTGTGGCTGTCTCAACTCATATGTGAATTACTTATTTCCCCTTACTAAAAACAATTAGTTCTATTTAAAAGTTACCTCATGTATATTGCCATCAACTGCTGAACTGTGAGTTTAAAAAAAAACTCTTCAGAAGAAGAGACACTTGCTTTTGCCTCTCACATCCTTTGTTTTGTACTTCTTGGTAGTTAACTGTGTTCCCCTACTGAGTTTATATCCTTTGAGGCACTTGAATGAGATTAGGTTATATTTATAGTTACTATCTCATCAAAAAGACACTTGGTACCTATTCCTTCAGTTTCTCCTACATTTTAGGATGTTTTTTTTGACCACGTTGCCAGAAATAGAATTTGTCTTATCTTTAAATGCGGGCACCTTTGTACTTGGTTGCATTTGCTGAGAGTGGCCGCATCCCATTGATTGTTAATGTCTTCCTGGGTTAGCGATCTTATGTTTGCCCATTGGTCGGAATGCTTGGGAGATTATTGGGGAATTTCCTTTGTCATCTGATACTGGTTGATCCTAGAAGTGTGCACCAAACAGAAAGATTTGAGAACATTTGCTTAGAAAGTTTACTGCTATCCTTCTCTTTTTTTTATCTTCTCTGTACCCTCTTTAGGCTGAATATATGGACTCTTGCTACTTTTTCTTTGATTTAAAATTTTTTGACTATCTTGATGTCCTGGAAACTGTGGTGAAGCTTCTCATCTTTCAGTATTTGAAAAATTTCATCTTTCCCACGCTACTTGAGTTGTACACACAGTATTAAGTAATCTCTCCGTTATCAGATTTCCTTCTCTAATTTTTCGCCTAAGCTGAGTTTCCAGAAGTCTGATGGGCGGGGCCGGGGGTCTGGCCCAAGTAGTAGGGAGTGTGTTTATTACATGCTCCCGCCTCAGCTGTCCTGTTGCCCCCCACATTGCCAACATTGCCTCTGTCTAAGGGCACAGCTGGGCGTGGCCTTCACAGCAACAACAGAATCCTGTGCTTAATGAGTACTTGATAACCTGTTGACCTATCAGCTCATCGTATTCTCTGTAATCGCAACTCATCTTCCCTTTCCTCCCTTTCCTGTTTGTGGTGGCCTGAACATGAAGACAGAAAGCCTCTTTGCTTTGACTCCTTATACCCCAGCATTCAGTTACTGGAAACATTCTGCAGTGCTGTCTTTAGACATTATATCATCTGGTATCTAATCACTGCCTTAGATCAAACCAGAATGATCTTCCTTAGCCCAGATTTTCTAATACTGTCCTGATATCTTTGGTACTAATTAAGGCAATATGTCAGCTGGATTAGTATTCTAAAAAAAGATATATTTTTTTAGCACCTTGTTCTATGACTCTTAGAGACTTAGTTTAACTATGAAATATAATTAAAATAATTCATCCGACATTTGAAGCCCCCCAAATGTTCTATCAAGGTAAATATTTTCTATAAGTAATTTGCTGTGAGCAAACTGAAATCCTTGCCATTTTTCCACCAGTTATATGTACTGAAGTCTGGCTTTGTGATTGAGAAATTCCAGAACTTTGCCGTTTTGATTTCCTTCATTTCCTGAATTAAAATTGTACCAAATCCCATACATCTGAGATAATCTGCTGTATACATTAGTGAATGATTTCAATTAATAAATAAGTATCTATTTATACATATTTAGTATATGTGCTGCCGAAGTGAGCACATATACTGGGCTGGAGCGATAGCACAGCAGGTAGGGCGTTCGCCTTACAAGCGGCCAACATGGCCGACCCGAGTTCGATTCCTCCGCCCCTCTCGGAGAGCCTGGCAAGCTACCGAGAGTATTCGATATGCCAGACACAGTAACAACAAAGTCTCCAATGGAAAGGTTACTGGGCCTGCTCGAGCAAATTGACGATCAACGGGAGGACCTTTACTTTACTTACTTTACTTTATACATATAAATATTTTTTACACATTTGCTGTATTACTGTACATTTATTTACTCCAGAGTATATGATTACGACTCTTACAGAGTATATGACAATTACCTTAGTGATTTTTGTTGTGCTTTGTTGAGTAACATATTATCATATTCCTTTACTGATCATTTATAGTTGGCATTTAGGTTGTGTGCAATATTTTCTAAAATAAATAGTACTATGATGACGATCTTGGTACATGCATATATGTGTGCAAATATTTCTTTGAGGTAAATTCCCAAATTACTTGGTACAAAAAGCAGCTATTTAAAGTTTTCAATGCATATTGAAAAGTTGCCCTTCAGAAAAAAATTTTTTAAGTTTATTTCCACTGGTAACTTTTTCAACAAGTGCTGTTGGTTATTTTCTTTGAAGTGACAGTCTCAGGTTTTCATTTTCAAGAAAATGTCTGTCAGATATCCCTGTCTGAGTAACCTGTTTGTTTATGGGTCGTTAGGTCATTCTTTTAAGTGGGTTTTAAAGAAAACTGTCCATTTGAATTTGTAAATCAAACAGTTACCAAGCTGTTTTTCCTCTGGACTCTCATTTTACTTTGAAAAAGTATTTTTTGAGGACACACCGTTTTTTTCATACTGAATGTTAAAAAAGATAAAGTAAAAACCTGTAACAAGGCCTGAGATTTTTATTTATTTATTAGTAAAGCAGGGTGGTTTTTATTGAATCAAACTTGCTTAGGAAGATGTGAGAGGAGAGAAAGAGGGGAAATATTGTTTTTAAGAGACCACACGGGCTTTTCCAGAATGGAAATAAGTGAGCCAAGAGACATCGAGACAAGCTAGCTAGCGAGGCTGGTTTCTGTAGGGTAGTGGTTATCACGTTCGCCTAACAAGACAAGCTAGTGAGACACACACTCAAGGAAGAACAGGGACTTGAAGAGCAAGCCCAGGGTTGAGATTTTCTTTTATTTAATTAGTATTTTCCCCTATATCACAAAACATATTCTTTAATGAAACCCCTGCCTCTTTGTGTCCTCTGATGGTGAAAATAATGATTTTAGTACATTTTGATGAGTGCTAAGATTCCCTCAATTTTATTGTTGACAGTGCAAATGTCAGCACTGTGGAAAAAGGGGAAAAAAAAACACAAAAAGACATAATCCTCGTATTATCAAAACCTGAGGCCCCATGGATATCTGAAAGAGTGTCCTGAATTTCTGGAAAGCTCTAGACAGTAAGTCGTCTAGTATGTGGTGTCCCAGAAATTTTCACACTGATTGACATACCCTCCCTGTTTTTCAGAAACAATTGCCCAATCCCTTGAAAATCCACCTTCTCTAAGGGAACTAACAGAATGTGGCCTGACATCATGCTGGGTCATTTCAGCGTCCACCGTCACCCCACCCGTGTGCGTGCGCGCGTGCGAGCATGTGTGCCTGTTACGTGCGTGTTTTCACTGAGTTTCAGAAGGCTGTTTGAGTAATCCCTGCCCACGTTGCCTATCAGTTCCTGTTGGCTAATTCAGTCTGATGCTTAACTTTTCAAATGTCGTATAGTTAGTTATGATGTTGTCATTTATTTTCTGTGTCAGGTTCATCGATGGGTCAATTATGAGTCCATGCTGAAAGAATGTCTGGTTGGCAGAATGGCAGTCAAACCTGCAGTTTGTAAAGGTGAGTGGTGCCAGTCTTGAGCTGCCATTGTGTGCCAGGATCCCACCACCGATCTCTCATTATCCCATGGGATTGTCCTCCTGCCTACCTCCCGAAAGCCCTTAGATTATAGTTCTCTTAAATATATCTCAGGGTTGTTCCCATTGGACATAATCTAATAATCCCTTGCTTTGTTTCTTTATACTCTTAAATGAGTGCAGTTATCTAGTATTTGTCCTTTTCTTCTCAAGAGTCATCTTTTCTTATAGCTGAATAGTATTCCATTGTATGTGTATATGTATATGTATATATATATGTATATATACACCATACATAAATTTTTTTTAGCAAGAACTAAAAAGTTTTATATATTTTTTCCCTCCTTTTTAAATTGAATCTCCATGAAATACACAGTTACAAAATTGTTTGTGACTGGGTGTCAGCCATACAAACACCACAATTTCTTTATCCACTCATCCGTTGTTGGGAACTTGGGTTGTTTCTAGTTCTTGTAAATATTATAAATAATGCTGAATTGAATAAAGATAGGCATATGTCCTTTTTGATTAATATTTTGTATTCTTGATTTAGATAATGCCAGTAGTAAAATTAATTACAGGGTCAAATTATTCTTAATTTTTTGAAGATTCTATATTATTTTCCAGATGGTTCCACCAGGATTGAATTAGCATCCTTCATATGCAACGACTCCGCAAACGTTTAACCATTTCTTGGCTTTTTAGTATAGTGTCAGTGATGTCATTCTGATTTGCATTTACTCAATGATCAGTAATAATGTTTTTTCCTCAGACCTGTTGATTGTCTTTATATCAATTTAGAGCCCAGAATTCATTTATGATACAGGGCTCGATGTATGAAGTGGAGCAAGGAGGACCTCTTCAACAAATGGGGAAAACCCAGTCACAAAAATGAAACTAGACTTCATGTCATACAGAAAGGTTAATTGAAAATGGATTGAAGACTCTGACATGACCTATTTGTATAAGATACATGGAGAAAAACATACACAGAATTCTCCAAGATTTTTTTTTTCCTGAATTTAGAAAAGATTTTATTAAAAGGATAGAAGGAAAGGGAGGAGGGCAGAGAAGAATTCTTCAGACCAGAAGTCCCTCTCCAAGAGGTTAACCTCAGGTGTGATCTTCACTGTGACCCTGCTGGTTAAAGCAAATGAAAGTAGAAATAAACAATGCTACTGCATCAAACTTAGAAGCTTTTGCAAAACAAAATAAATGAGTCTCAGAATTAAAGACTACACTAATTAAATGAGGCTCCAAATTAAAGACCTCACACTGAATATTGAGGGAAAATATTCACATATTACACATCAGAGGACTAATAATCCAGAATACATCAAACATTCCCATTAGTAATAGCAAACAACCCCATCCTAAAATTGGGAGAAAAGATGTAAAGATAGTTTTTCAAAGATACCATAAAGATGGACTTTGACAATTTTAGATATTTGATAGTAGTGCTTTGTTGAGTCCTGTACTGTGGCAGAAAGGAGCCCTAGTCATTTCTTTTGAATAACTTCTTGGACTTACCAATTAGGAAAAATTGGTTTGTTCAGCCGTTCTTCTATTTATGTAGTATGCCGACTTTTGTAATTCGGGGTGTATTGCCAGGGCCTTCATCAGCAGTATGGAAGCAAAAGAGGCTTACCTAGATAAGCAAGACAGGTGTCCAAAGATTCTTGGCTTTCCTATCTTTGGGCCAGTTTCTATCTCTGGGCCTCAGTTTTTAATCTTGACAATAACTCAGCGGGCTAAGAATTGTCACAGTCACTGTCCTCTCGTTGTGCATCGATCTGCTCAAGCGGGCCCAGCAACATCTCCGTTGTATCCTTTTACTGTGTTTGGCATATCGAATACGTCACGGGTAGCTTGCCAGACTTTGCCGTGTGGTGGAGATACTCTCGGTAGCTTCTGGGCTCTCCGAGAGGGGCGGAGGAATCTCACCTGGGCCGGCCTGGTCGCTGTGTGCAAGGCAAACGCCCTACCCACTGTGCTATCACTCCAGCCCCCAGGGCTAAGAATCAGAGAGTGAAAAGCTTCTTATACAGTGCATATGATACTCAAAAGGGATTATTATCTTTTCTTCTTCCAAAAAAGAGGGAGTGGGTAGACTTGGCCTTTCACCCCAATCAGTTGTTCAGACCAGTTAAACAACTTTCCTAACACATGGTCTTTCAAAGCCTAACTAGTCTAACACTAAACTTCCCCCAGGAGTTGAGGGACATTCCTCCCGCTTTCCTGTGAAGTAACCTGCTGTGGTCATGATCAACTCTCCCGTCTTAGTGGGACCTTGCGCTGTTGCTGTGCCTTAGATGTGCACTTCTGGTAGTGTTCGGCCTTTGAAACCCAGGGGCAGCAAATGCCAGTTAGGTGTGCACAGACCAGCAGGCCACAGGCCATTCCTAGAACATGTTTCCCACCAGACAGGGAAGTTGCCAGAGCTGGGTCTGTTGTGGATTCTGCTTGTGAAGGTGAGGTCCTTGACGAGACTCCCTTTGTGGAGGGAGCCGTCACTCTGGTGGCAGGGCAGAACCCTGTCCCTCATCCTTCCGCAGGCCCCTTCGCCTTCTTTCTTTCTGGCGTAAGAAAACTCTGGCCTCTTCTGAGTTGTTTCTTCAGTGTGAAGGAACCTGACTGTCCACAGCAGCGTGGCTAACAAAACCAGGGAGCAACGTGTGTGTACTGCAGAGACAAACACGTGTCAGCTTGTTGGCTGATTGGATCTGCTTTCTAGTTTTTCAGGGAACGTTCAGATGCGAGCTCGCTGAAAGAATGTTTGGTTTTGCTCAGAATAAATTTCGGCTGTCTCTGATAATCAGAGTCATGCTGCTGGAAATTTTTCCAAACCAGTTTCCTTTGTAAACCAATCCCTTTTTCTCTTAATTGATTCCTAAATTCAGTGATTCACTGCCCGTAGAAGATAGGATCTTGACTAAAATTTCTCATTTTCTAATTTTCCCTCATCCTGAATGTCATGTATCTTATTTACACAATCTGTACGAAAGGTCATACGTTCTTTGGGAACACCGTTCAGAGTAATCAGAGAGCATGCCAGGGTCCTTAGGCTTCTGTTTCATAGGAAACATGAAATTAGTCAAAGGGCTTTGCTCATTTTCTTCCTTCCTCCCTGGAAATGAAAAACAGATAATCCTCAAAATGCTTGACCAAGTTCAAAAACACCATTGGATGTGAGCGTACTAGTTCACAGGGAAATCCCCTGGCACCAAAAATTTGGAAAATGAAAAAAATTAGACGGACGACACAGCAGTCTGTAGTGACGAGCTAGCTTACGTTCTCTCTTTCTCTTGGTACTAGGAGAGTCACACAATATTTGTAGTGCTTTGGTATAGTAATACCAAAATAAAAGCACACCTGGCAGTGCTTAGAGCATGCTCTTGATGGTGCCCTCTGGCAGTGTGCGGGGTGTCATTTGAGGGCTGGCCATTGAACGTGGGTCTGCTGCATGCAGGGCATGGCACGCACCTTCCTTGCTGTACGACCTCTGCAGCCCCTTCACAGTAAATTTAACGCTTAGATGATAGAAAATCAGATTTGCATCAGTAAGTGTCTGAACTCTGCGAGTGCTGCATGTGGCTTGAACTCTTGCTGTTCTGGGACTGAATCCAAGTGCACTTGGGGGCTATTCTTGGAAGTCGGAGGGACTGCGTAGGCTGGAGATTGAGCCAGGGCCGCCTCTTACAGTGCATGTGCTCTGGTTTCTTGAACCATCGAGAGTTTTAGCCCACGGCGTGAACTCCTGAAGGTCTGCATGATGAGTGATGGTTGGTGTCTTGTCTGCATTTGCCTTGTTTATGAGGTATGATAGGGGAGAGGAAAGAGAGATTATCTCAGAATTTGTAACCACAGCCCTGTTCGTATGAAAATTGAGAATTCGAGTACACTATTGGAATGGTCTCAGAAACCAAGTCAATAAATGGAATGGTTTCTCATGACTTGTTTTCAGGTATGTCTACAAACTTTTAATGGTGGGGCACATTTTGAACCTAAAACTCTGAGAATTCCCACAGGTGTGTCTCAGAAGAGTCTTTAATGCAAAATAAAAAAATAAGATAAAGCATAGAAACAATAACAAGATGTGACTCCCAGAAGTTCATTATTCATATATATGATTAAGATTATATGTTTAATATGTTTGGGACAATAAGAATACTTAATGATGCCTAGCTTTTATTTTTTATTTGTGATAGGGTAAGTAGAAAAAGAAAGAAGAACTACAAAAAGTAGCCACGTACAATTGACAGAGAATCAAATAGTAGTTCTAGAAATAAGAAGGATCTGGTGTGAGTCAGTTTAGGCATAAAAGTAGTATTCATTGAACTCAGAAATGGCACAGAAAATATCGAGGGAGAAAAAAGAGGGGGAGAGAGGGAGAGAGCACTAATAGAGTAATAAGATCTAATATGTAAATGTTTCCAGAGTGATAATGATCGAGAAGCAGTGGCAGCACGTGAAGGGACAATGCCAGATTTTTCCAGAATCATTAGACCACAAATCCTTAAAGTCAGAAAGTTCAGATTGCAAACAAGATATATAAAAGAAATGCCTAGGTAGGTAGTTCTGTTTAAGCTGCAGAGCAGGAAAGACAATGAGAAGATCTGAAAAACAGCCAGAGACATGCAGAGTTTGGAAGCAAAGCAAGTGCTCTCTGCTGCTGAGTTATGTCTCCAGCCCGAGACTAGTATTGAGTGCTGAGAAAAATTTAAACAGCTTTAAATTCCATACAAAGATGGAGCAAAGATACTCAGGCCTAAGACCCACCACAAAAACCAAAACCAAAAACATAACACAAATTGAAGAGAACGTGCATGGGGAAAATTTCAAACTAAACCCGAATCACAATGAATTTAATTATTGTTATCACCTGGTTCAGAGGAACGCAAACACATTTCTAATCCAGAGTGAAAGGTGAACTCTGAGGTACTGTGAATTCACAGTGGTGGTGCTCAGGGCTTATTCCTGACTCTGCACTTAGGGATCACTCCTTGTGGGGCCCATGGGACCATATGGGCTACTGGGAATCAAACCCAGGCTGACCACGTGCAGGCAAGCACCATGCCCTCTGTACTCTCTGCTCCAAAACCTTTTTTTTTTTTTAATGTTTCTTTCTAGTCCTGATATTGATTGCTATGCAGCATTTTTGCTGAAAGAACACCCCTTCCCTAGACTTGCCTGAGTTCAAATCTCATTTCTGCTCATAAACCCTTTAGCTTTTTTTAGGTGTCAGTTGAGAGAATGGAGTGTTATTCCTCTGCAGAAAATGGAACTTAAGAATAAAATATCTTAGTATTGTTATGGGAAGTTTTGCAGATTACCCAGTGCATAAGAAATGACAGAGGGTGCTCGTAGTACAGTGCTGTTACTACTCTGGGTCCCGTGACTCTTTCGTTGCTACAGTGCTGAGGTTTCTTATGGTTCTGCTCCTTTCTGTTTTCCTAGAATAATCAGATCCATACTAGCCTGTATTGGGTGTCTGTGCCATGAAAAGATGGTTGTTTCCTGGCATATCCTATATTTATCTTATCGACAGGGCATGTGATAATGGGAATATAAATGTATCTATCACTAGAAAGTCCATTTGGATTGTGAAGTTTTGCTCTGTTCAGGTCAGCAGCGGTGGGGATGAGGTCAGTGAGTATACTGAACTTTATACTTTGGCCTTTTTCATCTCAGAATCCCTGACTCCACCTTTTTTGGGGTGACCTGCCAGACTTGGAATAGAGAGATCTAAAACTGGTATTTTGTTAACACAGTGGTAGGGCATTTGCCTTGTGCACAGCCAGCCCGGCCGAGCCAGGTTCGACTCCTCCGCCCCACTTGGAGAGCCTGGCAAGCTACCGAGAGTATCTCGCCTGCACGGCAAGGCCTGGCAAGCTACCCGTGACGTATTCGGTATGCCAAACACAATAACAACAAGTCTCACAATGGAGACGTTACTGGGCCCGCTCGAGAAAATCAATGAACAACGGGAGGACAGTGTTTGTTTTGTTGGCATTCTCACAGTCGGGTAGTTCCCAAAGGATAGATAGTTCACAGCTTCTCTGGTGTTTTCTAGCATGGCATGTGTGTCTGGAAAGAAAAGGAAAAACTATATAATACTAACTTTGTTATCAAAATAGATATGTTTTTATGATCTTGTTTAAGACAGTGCTGTGGTTTGTTCTATACTCAAAAGGTATCAGTAATGAGTAAAAGGAGAAACATTGAAAAGGGAGGCTCTAATTACTGATTATTTGTGTGGGACACTCTATTGTGTGAAAAAGATGAGGTAATTTTTACCCTTTGCCCTTATTCTTACTCCTTGTTGTCATTATAGTAGCCCAGTAGCTACACCTGGTTATTTCGCACTAGAAATATGACTAAAATAAGATGCACAGCGAGTTTGAAATGCATACTGGATTCCAGAACTTAGCATGAAGCAAACAATATCAATATGTCATGGTTTTTATATTGATTGCATGTGAAAATGATAATATTCTGAGTATATTTTGTTAAATTTGTTAGAAATAAAATTTGTCTTATGACAGATGAGTGAAGTAAAGATAATTTTGAATCTAATTGATTGGAAGTCAGGAAATAAAAAAATTAAAAGCGTTACTGGGGATGTAACTCTGGTAGAACACATGACTTTGCATAGATGAAATTCCAGGTTCAGTTTCTGGCACCAGATACCAGCCTCTCCAACCACCTGCCTCCCAGAATGGAAAACTTTGGTGTAAATTAATTACCTTTCAGTCTACTACTTGGATATTATGTTAGCGTGTCATCTTTTAAGTTTTTGACTTCAATGAAAAAGAATGTAAAATATCTTTTTTTAGATTTTTAAGATGTTTGTTTCATTTGTATAGCATAATTTAATAAATTCTGTTAATTTTGACTAGTTTCGAATATGATGACCTGGATAAAACATACAGTTCAAGAAAAATGACCAAAGGAGTAAGGAAGAAAAAAAAACCCAAAAAACATGTAATGGTGTAATGATTATGTAATGCAAACGCCTGAAGGAATGCCTACCAGTCTTTAGATATGAAACTTACGTGGAATATCAGCTGTTTGTTAGCTTAATATGTCTCCTCTGATTTTAGAAGAAGGATGTTGAATAAAAAGTCTTGGTTTGAAATTAATTGAACTTACTCTGACATTTTGTATTATCTGACTTTTTTCCTAACTCGCCGTGCAGACTCTCGAGAGGAGAAGAAAGTCATAAATGGTAAGTCGTATCAATTTAAAGCCCACGCTGAATCCTATTCAGATGAATTGCATACAGTGTCATCAGAGTCATTTTGGATATTTAGATATTTTGCATATGAAACGTGACTTAGAAAATTTGACATTAAGTTCTTCTGACATAGACATTATTCTCTTCTGTGACAACTCGAACTCGTTTCCCCCTGTCCTCACTTTGAATCCACGTTGTCTGTGAAGGACGAAGATTTATCTGAGAAGTGCAGTTGAGGTGGTTTTGATCACGAGGATGTAACAGAGTATAATTATGCCGGGCCAGTCTCCCACATACCTATTCAGATCACTTTGTGTATGTGCAGCTGTGAACCACAATGTTAAGTGACACGTAAGATACAAGAGCAAGAGTGAGCAGTCACGGCCCTCCTAGCAGGTGTGCGCCCCTCTGGTATTGGCATGCAGGTGTTGAGTCACTTCTTTATCTGCCCTTCTCTGGGATCAACATTTCTGGTCTCTTCAGTCTTTCAGGTATGACTTGAAATCATGACTTCCGCTCCCTGCTCCTCCAGTAGGGGGTGGCATAATGGTTAGCGTTGACCTATATAATGCAAGCAGATGCTCTACTTTTTTTTTTAATGGAATCCTTGTGAATGACAGAATGACAGACTTATTCGATCTTAATTTTCACGTGTACAGGATCCCAGCACCAGTCCCTTCGCCTGTGTGCCCTCCACCGGTGTCCCCACTTACCCTTTGCCCTCAGCCTTCCTTATATGGCAGGCACTTCTCCCCTCCCCAGTGCCCTGGTGGACCCTCCCAGAGCTGATTCAGCCCCACCCCCATCCCAGTGGCCGGCTTTCTACTGAAGGCCACCAGTTCTCCTGCTCCTGTTTCTTTTGCTTTGGGCACTTGTTCTTCCCCGAGGCAGTTTCCTCATCTCCCGCATCCAGAATGAGAGACGATCAGACTGTGTCTGTCCTTGATCCTCTGATGAACTTCACAGAACGTGATCCTCTCCAGACCCATCCACAAAGCAGCGAATTGTATGGTTTCATCTTTTCTTAGAGCCGAATGGTACTCTGTTGTGTATATGTACCATAGCTTCTTTATCCATCCTCTGTCCTTGGACATTTAGCTTGTTTCCAGATTTCGTCTCTTGTCCGTAGTGCTATAATGAACATCTGGGTGCAGATGTCTTTCTTGCGTTGTGCTTTTGGGCCAAGGAGTGAAATTCGTGGGTCGTATCAAAGCTCAGTTGCTGGTTTCTTGAGGAATGTCATATTGTCTTCCAAAAAGGCAGAGTCAGTTGATACTCCTATCAGCAGTAAATCTGGGTTCCTTATTCCCCAAATCCTCAACAACAACAATGCTGATTGTGAGGAGAAAAAAAAATAGAATCAGACATGATAGAACTGAAGAATTTGATAGGTGAAATGAAAAAGTCACCGGAAGGCCTCAGTAGCATAATAACAGCAGCTGATGACAAAATTAGTGGAGCTCCGAGATGAGACACAAATTCTCTAGACAACAGCAGAAGATCGGGGGGGAAAGCAGCTCAAAATAAACGGACAGGCGAGAGAACTTTGGGAGAAAATCGAGAGCAGCAGCATGAAGATTATCAATACCCCTGAGGACCAGGGAAGCAACTCTGACGAAGAAGAATTTCAAAAATTATTGCTGAAATTTCCCAGAGCTGAGAAGTGCACGCATTCAGATTAAAGAGGCCTGAGGTGTACCAGTTAAATGAGAACCACTGATATGAAGTACTGAAAGCAGCAAGATCAAAGAAGGAAATTACATACTATCTCTCTAGCCCTTTATCAGATAAAGTTCATATTAATTATTGAAGTCTTGTCTTATAATTATGTATGTAGTTCAGTGGTAGAGCATTCTTTAGGTTTACGGCTAATTAGTTCTTAACTTAGACCTTATTATGTCATATTGTTGTTAATTTAAGAATTAAGTGTGTTCTGCAGTTACATGGGAAGAGACCCTATACACGGGAATAGACTCTGCCAAACTTCTGAGCTTAAGGCTCATGGTCAGCTTCATCAAAAAACAAACAAACAAAATAAACCAAACAGCTGTGTGACTCTTGGTGCTTACATTAAACTTTTGTGTAAACAGGAAATTCTGCAACTAAAACAACTTTTGAAAGTTTCTAATATTTTCAGAAGTCTTTTAGTAGCAATATATTTTGTTTTTACTTTTGTTTTCTTAACTAAATCTTAGAGCTGTAATGTACTGATACTTATATACAAGATCTCTGGAGTCCCGTGTCTTAGAGTTTCCTAAAACAATTTGAAAACCGTAGCTTTTGTAGATTTTTCAAAAAAAAAAATAAACTCATTACTTTTGGTTTATTACTATTAATTTTTCTCATTTTACATTAGAACTGTAATGCCTCTAGAGTTAGCTGGGCAAAACAATCACGATCACGACCATCCTGTTATTCGTCGATTGCCTCGAGCAGGCCCCAGTAATGTCTCCTTTGTCCTAGCCCTGAGATTTTTAAAAAAGTGCCACATTCAAGGCTCTTTCAGGGTTCGGAGAATGAGACCCATCATTGTTACTGGTATTTGGCATGCTGGGTACGCCACGGGGAGTTTGCCAGACTCTGCGTGTAGGCAGGTTACATTCGGTAGCCTGCCAGTTTGGGCAAAACATCCAGATCAAAAGAAAATGTAGCTTACAAAAATGCCATTTCTGGAAAGGTCACATATAATCAGTAAGCTAATTGCAATATCAGACATTGAAATAGTGGTTACCCAAAGCTCACATCACCGAAACTTCAGCAGCATGTTAGTGGTGGCCTATAGAATGTCTTAATGGCTGAAATTGAACAATCTTCACACTGTTTCCTATGTGGACACTTTTTTGTAAGCTTGTTCAGCAGTTCTTCATAACATACAATACGAAATACATTATTTCGGTTGTGTTTTAGGACAGAGATGGAGGTTTGGGATGGAAGCATCCCGAATTTGGTGGTGGGAAGGTGTAATGGTGGTGGTTTTGGTGTTTTGAATATTGAGTGCAATCAAACATTGTGAACGGACATAAAATTAAAAATTTTTTAAAAATTTAAAAAAAAAAGTAATGTGGAGTTCATGCCCAGTTCAGTCCTCTTAATCAATGGCTGAATAAATAGCAGTGCTCCTACATTATAAAAAGAAAGAAAGAAAGAAAGAAAGAAAGAGAAAAAGAAATTGTGGTCATCCTTGGGGGCAGAGTGGTGAGTGGAAAAAGCACCAGGAAGTGTCAGCTACAAGTGTTTTACTTGATGAAAATTCTCTGTGTGGTCGTACATTTTTGATTTATGTCCTTCAATCTTAATTCAGGAAGCGTAGTAGGAAAGAACGATGCCTCTTAGGTTAACTGTGGCTGTTCTGTTTTCCTTTTCAAAGGCATGCTTCCCAGAAACCCAGGAACAGATAAGTGTGCCAAAGAAGGCCCTAGTTCTCCAAGGTATGCGTTCTTGTTTTATTTTTTAAAAGCTAAATCAGTTCGACATCAAAAATTATGTTCTTTTTAAAATAAAACCACTCTGATTTATTACTTCCTTGATTAATCATGCTTCGGGGTCCAAGCACTTGTAGTGTCTAGTTTATCAGACACTTGAGAATGAGCCACACTGTAAACACGAACTTAAGTTCGACCCATTTTAAATATCAAGGCCTTCTTTTAAAAACAACTCAAAAATATTTGTTGTGACTATAAGATAAATGTCCATGGTAGAAAACTTGAAAAATATGGAGAAATACGAAGAAAGCGATCAAGTCTGTTGTCATCGTCGCAACTTAATGTATCTTTTAATATAAAGATGATCTGAGTGTTTTGTTAGTGGGCATGGCTGTTGATACGATTATTGTTTTTCAAATATGTTTTTTAGCTATGACTGGTTCCAAACGGATTGCTCAGTCACCATTGCCATCTATACCAAACAGAAGAAGGTAAACGCGTCTCTGAAATTCAGAGCTGGAGGGGAGGGAAGGGATATAAGTGCTCCATAAATGTCACTTCTGTCAGGGACTTTGTTGTATCAATTTATTTGTTCACAGCAGCTCTGTGACGTGACTCCTTTCATAATCTCTGTTTTACTTGTATCAGAGAGAGCAAGGACTTTACTGGGAGTCGCGGAGTAAGGAACAGGTCTAGGAGTTTGGATTCAGGCATGCCGGCTCCAGGATACGTTTATGCAGCCATGCTCTAGTCAGCCTCTTAGACTACTGTTTTATAGTGATATTTTTTTCCCCCCAGCATAGATTTAAATAGAATTCCAGTGAATTTTTCCATAAAAGCTCATTTCCCTCACATAAACGGGATTTGAATGATAGAAGAGACTGCTGTTGCGATTAAGTTAAACCTTTAGTGGCACTCAGATTTCTTTTTGAAACTATAATTAAGGAGATAATTCATTTATGAAATTATTTAACTTTGGGTGCCTCATAGTTGTAGAAATTAGGGCTGCTACAGTGGCCCAGAGAAACTTCGCTTTTATGGGACTTAAAGTCCAACTCAGATGTCAGATAAATAAGCAGAGAGAGAATTTAAAACTTGCACAGGGGCTGGCGTGATGGCACAGCGGGTAGGGCGTTTCTCTTGCACATGGCCAACCCAGGTTCGATTCCCAGCATCCCATGTGGTCCCCTGAGCACCGCCAGGAGTATCTCCTGAGTGAATGAGCCAGGAGTAACCCCTGTGCATCGCCGGGTGTGACCCAAAAAGCAAAATTAAAAAAAATATATAACTTTTGCACAGTTGGGGCCAGTGAGATGGCTGTGAGGAGGGAGCCCCGGCCTCACATGCTGGAGCTTCAGAGTTCTGTTCCGTTTTGTTTTGGTTTTTGGTTTTTTGGGTCACATCCGGTGATGCACAGGGGTTGCTCCTGGCTCATGCACTTAGCAGTTACTCCTGGCGGTGCCCAGCGACCATATGGGATGTTGGGAATTGAAACCGGGTTGGCCGCGTGCAAGGCAAATGCCTTCCCCCTTCCCCACTGTGCTATCACTCCAGTCCCCGAGCTTCAGATTTTTTTTTTCTTTTTGGATAGCTAAGTTGCTTTAATTCTTTTTTTTTTTTAAGTTTTATTTATTGAGTCACCGTGAGAACAGTCACAAAGCCTTTCAGTTTAAGTCTCAGTCATACAATGATGAAACACCCGTCCCTTCACCAGTGCACATTTTCCATCACCAAGAACTCCAGTATACCCCCCCCCCCCCCACACACACACACCCCGCCTGTGTGGCAGAGTTCCACTTTATCTATGTTGATCACATTCAATATTATGACTAGAACCCCAACATTATTATTTGGAATTTTCCCCAACATTCAGACCTGCCGCAAAGACCTCATTAGATAATTTGTTTTCTTTTGCTGATCATGAAGCGCATATGACGTCATGTGGCCTCAATAGCGGCCACGCAGAGCTTCAGAATTTTGATCCTGGGACCCCTGGCACCCCATGCCCCCCTGAGTGTTGCTGGCAGTGGCTCTCAAGCACTGCAGTTGTGATTTTCATGGAATACCCAAACACTTCCAGTCCTGGAACTGATACGATTTTCACATTTGAGAAACAGTGTAGATTTAGAACTCGTTGTGAGAACTAGAAATTTCTGAACATTCCTGGTGCAGTAGCAGACCCATATCTGAAGCCAGTGAGTTCCTCTGGCTCAGGCAGGATCATTTCACCATGTCACGGGACAGCTACTATTTATCTGATGGAACCAGGAAAGCCCAAGGCACTGCCTTCCCCTTATTCTGCTCCCTCTCATTTTAAGCTCATTGCCTGAGTGGGTAAGGACTGCCAGCGGGCTCAGTTTCTGCTTGCAGTAACAGTGAGATACCAGGGCTAAGGGAAAGGCCAGTGCATGGAATGTACTCAGGGTGGTGTGCAGATCATAGGTACTGAGATCAAAGCTACGTAGAAAGCCCATGGTGCTCAGGGCTTCTTCCTGGCTCTCTGCTCCAGGATCACTTCTTCTGGCACTCAGGGGCACCATATGCAGTGCCAGAAATCAGATTTGGATTAGCCAGGTACAAAGCAAGAACGTTAGCCGCATATCTCCAGTCCGCTAAGGTAGATATTAAGTACACATATGTAATTAAAAATGATATGTGCTTTGGATTGTATAAGAGAGAGAGAAAACAGAACTGATGTTTATTTAGTTTCGTGGTTCAATGAATGTCATGTGAATGTCTGCTGATTGTCTTAAAAGTGTGGTTGTAGAAATTTGGAAAGAAATTACAATTTAATCTTTCTCTTTTTTTTAAGGATGTCAATTTAGATTCAATAATAGTTGATCATAAGGACGATTCCTTTAGAGCAGAAACAATTATCAACGATTATTCATATCTTATACATATTAGTAAGTATTTCATTTGTTATTAGCTTCAAGAATAAGCATTTTTTTATAATTCTGTGTGATTATTTTTCAGTACTAAGAGTATCTGATTCTTTACTAATATTTAAGTGTGGCACTAATTTAGGGAATGAATTTTTTGTGTGTGTGGTTGTCTTTATCACTTTCGATTAGGCTTTCCTAATATTTCTTCATGGTACTGAAAGTGCCAGCTGATGAAAATCTGACTTCATCTTTCCTAAGTTTGAACCACGAGATGCAATAAAATTGTCGATAGTGTGATCTATTTGATGACTTTGCTTCGTCAGTCTCTTTTGCCTGAGCTCGTCAGACAACTCCCAGCAACCTGTGTGCCCTCCCTGGTCCTGCCCAGCACCCAGCGCTCGGTTTGTTCCAGCAGCCTGTCTGTCTCCTTCGGGTCTTCGGGACGTCAGAGCTGCTCCCGAGGAGTCTGGACAGTGGAGTTGCTTTGTCACCCTCAGTTGCTTGTCCATGAAACATTCGCTCTTGTCTCTTGTGATCTCAGGACGTCAGCGTGAAAACCTAGAATCAGAGTTTCCAGACCTTTAATCACTTGCAGCATAATGAATTGACTCTATGGTGTCACCCTTTTTCTGGGGGAGGGGGGCGGGGGTTGGGGATGAGTTGCATAGATATATACTTTAAATTGGAACATCACCAAAGATATGCCACTCTTTTCTACCTTTATAAAGGCGATAGAATTCTAGTTAAAAAGAGGAAAAGGAAACAACAAAAATTCAAGATTCAGAAAAATCATCTTGGTAACTGTTCTTAAAGCATCATTCTAACGTGAAACTGTTTCATTTACTTCTGAATATTTGAATATTTGGTTGAAACTCTCCTAGACGGGAGCACAGACATTCTCCTGGTCTCAGCTGGCTCAAGATTGAGCTGACCGAGTTACTCTGTTAACGAAGTCAACCTTCAGTTCTCAATTTGACGAGAAGAGATAAATGATTTCCGACATTCTCTCCCCACTTTCCCCTTTCATTAGCTCAACAAGTCTTGAACTTTAAGCCTCTCTCCTAGAAATGTATCCAGTTCTATATTTCGTTAGTGGAAGATCTCTCAGTTTCTTGTAGGAGAGTTTTAGCCAAATACTCAACTACCTAGAAAAGTAGACCTTTTTCATCAGCACTGTCATGACTTTTCCACAAGTTAGAAATCTCTGTTGTGGGCTGGAGCAATAGCCTAACAGGTAGGGTATTTGCCTGGCAGGCAGCTGACCCGGGTTCGATTCCCAGCATCCCATATGGTCCTCCAAGCACTGCCAGGAGTAATTCCTGGGTGCAAAGCCAGGAGTGACCCCTGTGCATTGCCAGGTGTTACCCAAAAAGCCAAAAAAAAAAAACCTGTTGTAAGCTTTTGTCTTTTCTGTTTCATATACTCCATGATTTATTTTGTTCACATTGGTAACTAACTGTATTATTCGCACTTAATTTTTTAAAAAAATCCACAATCAATATGAACTTCTTGGTTGTTAATATTGAAACAGTAAAGAAAAAATACAATATGGTAAGTTCGAAATAACTGTTAGTCCTTTGAAATTTAGGCCAGATGTTTGTAAAAATATGTCCTGCATCCTCCCCTTGGAGTGAAAGTTCCATCAGGTCAGGGATTTTTCTCTTCTGCTAACACCTACCTAGTGTTGTTGTGTCCTTGACACCTACCTAAAAAGCATGTGGCACAGAGATGCTCAGGATTTTTTTTCAGCTCTTTCTTCTTCCTTTGCTCCCTTCTTTTTTTTTTTATTATTATTATTTATTTATTTATTAGGGAAACACCATGAGGTACAGTTATAGGCTTACCAATTTTGTGCTTGGGTTTCAGTTATACAATGATCAAGTGCCCATCCCTCCACCAGTGCCCGTCATCCATCACCACGGGTCCCAGCATCCCCCCCCACCTTCTTGACTTGTAGAATTGTCAGTCTAGAGCATAGTTGACCTAGTTTAGTTGTTGACTTATCAAAGATAAATGAGGGGAAAAAATGGAATAATATATTATCTATAAGTTGGCTCTTTATTGTGTAAAAGCTCTTCTAGTCTCACAGTGTTTTACTTTTCCTGAGAGATCCAAAATAATGCAGAAAAACCATTTAAAAACCATTTACATTTTCTAATGGTATTCATAGTTATATGAGTTAAAGCAAAATTTTCAACCATGTGTGTTTTTCTTTCCCAGAACTAAGCCATGAGATTGAAGAATTTTCTGGTAAGCTCCCCCCAAATAATCATATGTATGATTGTGGTGAAAGAATAATCATATGTATATATGATATATATGATTTTATATGTGAGCTATATAGGAGATATCCTTCCCCTACTCCTGACATGCAGCTTGTAGAAATAAACTTACCCAAATGTTGGCAGGGCATGAAATTATGAATAGTGCTGTATACAAATGCATGGTGTGGATTTTACATAATCGTTCAGGATCTGAGGCTTTCATGAAATAGTATTTCCTGGGGGGTTTTTTTTTGCGTGTGTTTGGTTTTTGGTTGCCTGACTGGTTGTTTTTTTGCCTCCCAGGACCCTTCCAAAGTGATTGGCAGCCAGCCGGGCTGCTGTTCTGAGCAGTGCTTTTAGGGGGGGCTGTGCTGCTTCTGGTGACCTGAAACCCCTGGCAGTGCTCAGAGCTCTAGGGCTTCACACAGTGATGGTCACTAGACCAGAGCTGGGTCAGTCTACATACAGGCCAGGTGCTTTAACCCCTGTCCTGTCTCTCTCGCCCCTGCATTTAAAAAAAAAAAGTTTTTATTGAATCGCTTCAAAAGATAGACCATTACCAAGCTGTTGTTAAACATGGGTGGTGGGATTTGTACACTGGCGAAGAAAGAGGTGTTGGAACTTAATATGACTGACACCCAATCTAACACCATTGCGACTGATTTTTAAGAAGTTGCTAAATTGTTACTGAGTTACGTATTTGTGAGGTAGAACAGAAATCGTTTTCTACAGACAAAATACGTTAGGTTTTAAAATATATAAATTTCACAAAAATATGTAAATCTATATTTTGTGATCTGGTAGGATTTAAACCGTGTTGATCATTCACAGTTAAAAAGATTCACGGCTAAGAAGCTTTTAATTGTAAAAGATGTAACTGCACTCTGCAGGATCCCATTCTCCTGAAGCTTTTTTGGTCGTTACTAAAGCTTAATAAAGCTCAGTATTGATCCACCACATTTACTCCGAAAAACCCGTTGATGCCAACGAAGAAACATGAGGAATAGAAATTGCATTTGCTTTTGCGAGCCCACTTAATGCCTGATTTGTATGTGACAGCCTTTGTGTTTTAAGTTGCCCTTTGTATATTAGTTTGCGTGAAATGTGTGAAAATCAGCACACGTTTGTTATTTTGGCGAGTAAGTACTCACAGCCTTATTTGTTAGTGATGGTCATCTTCTGTATCACACCAGTGTTTGAATTGCTTGAGAAAGATGAGCTTCGAAACTTCCTTTTGGGTTTGAAGCCACCGTCAGCGTCGTGTGCTTAGGGGGACACGAGGTGCCTTGAACCCAGCCCTGCATGTGAGACGTCCATTCCAGCCCCTTGAGCGCTGTCTCTTGCTCGGGAGACTGGCTTTGACATGAACTCATATATCTGTTGTCAGTGAACACAAATGAAATCCATTTTCTTTTCAGTGCGAATTGTTGAGGTTGTGGGGAAGATAGAGATTGTCCTCAAGAAAAAAGAGAAGACTTCTTGGAAGAGTCTTGGCCATCCCCTGGAAGCTCATAATTCGTTTATTCCAAAGAAAGATAGAGGTTTGTACTGTTATTTCGTGGCATGTATTCAAGGATCCTGTGTTACTGGCACACGGATACCAGAATTCAGAAGGCCGCTGTGGGATCAGCCAAATAATCCTTGTGTGTCCCCTCAAAGAAGTACAAACGGGATGTGTGCGTGTGTGTGTGTGTGTGTGTGTGTGAGAGAGAGAGAGAGAGAGAGAGAGAGAGAGAGAGAGAGAGAGAGAGAGATTTCTCCTTTGAAAGATCGAAATAGATTTAATTTCAGACTGTCTAAACAGCATGGCTAAGCCATTGACCTTGATACTTGGATGAAGCTCCCTTGTGCGAAACTCTTGAGACTTTCCCAGCCCTCCATTCCTTCAGGTTTCTGGTCTTGTTTTAGTTTTTGTGTTTACTAAAGTAAGATTGACTGTTTTGGGGGAGGGAGGGGTATATTTTGTCTTGTTTTGTTTGGGGGTTGCAGTAGGCCATACTTGGTGGTGCTCAGGGATTACTCTTGTTTCTGTCCTGAGTATCACCCCTGGTGGGCTCAGGGGTGCAGGAGATTATTTTTTCTTAATTAATTAATTAATTTTATACTTATTTATCACTGAGATAATATGGTTTTTAGTAATGTTAGTTTTACACTCATGTTAATGTTTATACTTTTGATATGCAGTGGTTTTGTCCCATAGCTATCACCAGAGTGCCCAAAACCCTGTATACCACTGTCCCTTGGTCCTTTTTCTCCCCTTGTTTTTAGTTTTATTTTGTTTCATTTTACTTTGAGATTTGTGTTGTGCTGAGTTACTTATTTCTGTTGAGTGACTTCTGTTCTCGTGTTTGACTTCTAAGAATGCTTTTGATTTCTGTTCTTTTATCTTAGCATCCTGTTCTTAGTAGTTTTGCCTGTTCTTTTAAAAACTACTTAAATTAATTAAACTCCTAATTCGTTAGGAGTTTTCTTTTGCCTGCATAACTGCAAATGTGGTCCCTGGGTTTTTTTTGTTTGTTTGTTTGTTTGTTTTGTTGTGTCTTTCTTATTAAATACTTTCTTTGGATGTGTGCTAATCCCTGACTGCCTGCTCGTATTTAAATTTAATTGAAAAATCTGTGCCTATTAACAGTAATATTACTGTGGCCGTGCTGCACTGTTTCTCTGGAAAGTCTGGAAATGATGTCTATGTTTTCTCACAATCTCTGGGCGAATTACCTCCTTGCAACGAAGAGTTCGTGTCATCTAGGAAAAGAGGACTGTAGTGTCCCTCCCATTTCTGACCACTAGGGGGCAGAAAATCCCACGTCCACATCGGTTTATTCTTCACTTCCTATTCCTCTATCTTAAGATAAAGCTCCCACTGGGTATTCTGAGTTCCAGCCACCTGCTTTGTCAACTTCCAGAGTTTGTTGCTTTTCCTTATTTCCATGTTTCTCGCTCCTTGCCGTCTTGCATCTTTAAAGATAGCCAAATAGAAACATCTTGACTCGTTTTTTAAAAGCTTAGAATAAATTAACTAGCTAATTTTCAGGGTATCTTCTTAAAATATTGCCAGTTACAAAAATAGATTTGTGAGTAATATTTTAACTTTCACAGAAGCATCAAGTAGTCTTATTTTTAGTATCCATTAATTTTAAAGGTTTATTTTAGGTGTGAAATTAAAAAAAAGTTGTAGGTTATTTTCCCATGTGGAAGAAAGAATATTTAAAAGCATGAGACTGAAGAATGCATTTATATAAAGAAAAAAAAACAAAGAATGGCAAGTTCACTGGTATAAGTTGAACATATTTAAAGGATTGGGAACAGATATAGATGGATTTGGCTCTGAATGAAGCCTTCGAAGTCGGTTAATATAAGTGACATTAGGATGGCTTTGAAAGAACATTTTCACGTCCTAAGAATAACTTTCCAGGCAGAGCTTCAAGTTGTCTGGGTACTTGTTACACCTGGCGATTTTCAGATTGCAGAGAATGAAAAATGTAAGCTATGTGTAGAAAGGTTAAATAAATTCATTTTACCGGAGCAAGAGGTCTGAAATGTGCACAGGTCACTAAGAGAAAGAACGTGGAAGAGTGATGGTGTGACCTTGTGGATTAGAAGAAAACAGATAAAAGGCGGTGAAAATGAAAAGAGATGTTATTGAAGTTGAACCTCTCGCTCTGAAATGTTCTGACCAGTGATCGAAAAATCACAGCAAACCAGATAGAAGCCAAATCCAAGAAGTAAATGAAACTAGAGCCGCAGCTGACCTCCATTTAGAAGTTCCTAGAATGAATCCTGCTCACGTATTCTTCCCTGTAATTTCCTGAGGCTTTCTGTGAACTCTTGGCCCTGCCATAAATTTCTGCCTGAGTCAAAATTCACTGTAGTTGGCTCTGGCTTTCCTGCCTAAAATTGAAGCTATGCACATACTTTTCTGTGAATTAGGTTTTCATTTTGGAAAATATCTCATATTAGGGTAAATTTTATTTGATGAAATTGGCATAGGTAATTTCTTCTTTGGCCATCGCTCTTTTTAAATCATGACAAAAGCTAGCTTTTTTTTTTTTCCACTAGCAAAGCTTGCTTTATGTCATCAATATGTATTTCTGATTTTTAAGATTGTAGCTTGTTGGCTTCCTCTTAATGAACTTTTTTAGCTAAAATAATTTATTTGAAAATTGGCGTTAAATTGAAGGAGTTTAATGTGATGCTTTCTCATGTGAAATCTATAAGTTACCTAAATAACAGATTCAGATATAGCAAAGAACTCTGAGAAGAGAAAAGCCTTCATTTTTACGTCTAGTTTTCATGTAGTAGCTGATAAATTACAATGGATGTATGGCACTAGATTAATATAAGCTGGAAGTTTTTGATAATTTTGTCTCCTCAGAGATAAAGGTTACAAACTATGTGTATTTCCACACATCCCTGCTCCCACCGTAAGAACTTGTTTAGTAGAAGTGTAGCACAGTCTTCCCGTTGTTCATCGATATGCTCGAGCGGGCGCCAGTAATGTCTCCATTGTGAGACTTGTTGTTACTGTTTTTGGCATATCGAGTACCCCATGGGGAGCTTGCCAGACTCTGCCGAACTTGTTGAGTAATGATCAGAAATTCATAGATAACTAATTGGGCTGCAGTTTCTTACACATCCTAAAATTTTTGTGTGATTCCGGTTGCCCTTTATATTAGGACTTCCGTTACCAGGTGAAGGTAATTTTAATGGTTTGTGAACAACTCAGTACGTGAATCAAGATACGAAATTATAAGATTTTTAGAGACTGTGTCTTAGTTTAATGTGTCAGCAGCCACTTCTAAGCCTTTATAAATACCTGTAGTGATTGTACAACTGCCTTGTTAATTTAGGTAGAACTTCATGGAATAACCGACATTTACCTAATGGCTGGATTTGTGTGATAGCACAGCGGTAGGGCGTTTGCCTTGCGCGCAGCCAGCCCGGCCGAGCCAGGTTCGATTCCTCCGCCCTTCTCGGACAGCCTGGCAAGCTACCGAGAGTATTCAATATGCCAAACACAGTAACAAGAAGTCTCACAATGGAGACGTTACTGGGCCCGCTCGAGCAAAGCGATGAACAACAGGAGGACATTGTGTTTCTAGGTAAAAATTTTCTAGGTAAACTGACATTTGCCTAATTTTCTAGGCAAAAGAATTTTTACCTAGAAAAATCATTTGCCCTATTAGGGCTCTTAGCTTCAGCTGACCTCTCTCTCTCTCTCTCTCTCTCTGTCACACACACAGAGTAGGTAAAGCAAAACTGATTTAAGATTTTATTTGCTATATTAAAAGATAGCAGAAGGCAAAGAAAATTGAGTTCAGATAATAGTATAGACCCTTCAGTATAATATGAGGTTGGTTGGGTACTTACAAAATTGAGAGGAACCGTGGAAATGTTCAGTGTCACTGAGTGATGTCTGGCTAAATGTTATGTTTCAAGGGTCCCGTGGAGTCTAGTCTTTGAGAAAGACGTCCTCTTCTCCCGCTTACATACTAATCTTCAGCTTTAACAAAATCTCCCAAGTATAGTCGAGATAATAAAACATCAATATAATTCAGGGACTGAAGCAATAGTTCCGTGGGTGCTAGGGTGCTTGCCTTACATGGTTTCCCTGGCATCCCATGTGGGTCCCTGAGCCCTGCCAGGAGCAGTCCCTGGGTGCAGAGCCAGGATTAAGTCTTGAGCAGCACTGAGTTTGACCTCAAACACCCACTTACTCACACCAAATATATATGCAAATCAGGAGCACTTTTAACAGTACCAGCTCAAAATAAACGTATACTCTCAATTTAATAATGGTTGTTTTAAATCACAAAGGAAAGTAAATGATTTTTGAGCATTAAAACCATTCAGTGTTTTTTTCCCAATGTGTCGGGAGACTGTAACCATAATCGTTTATCATTCTTAGTCTTTAAAAGTATTTTATGTGTATTCTTAGACACATATAAAGTAGTTTCAGTAACAGTTGATAAAATTGTATAAGGGAAGCCTCTCAAAATTTGTGAAAATACTGGGTAATTCAAAATAAATAACACAAGCAGTCAGGCCACAAGATATCCTTCTAGAGTTCATACTCTTTTCAACGCTGCACTGTGGAATCCCAGAATTCCCTGTCCAGGGGCTAGAGTGATAGTACAGCGGGTAGGGCATCTGCCTTGCACGCAGCCAACCCGGGTTCGATTCCCAGCATCCCAAATGGTCCCCCGAGCACCACCAGTAGTAATGCCTGAGTGCAAACCAGGAGCAATCCCTGTGCATCGCTGGGTGTGACCCAAAAAACAAAAAAAGAATTCCCTGTTGAGATGGCCTCCTGTGAGTTTCTGTCTGAGCCAGTGGATGAACTTGAACATCTGGATTAGGTTTCGAGAGAACACACGCAAAGAAACCTAATGTGTGTTTATTTTATAAAGGTATTTTTTAAATTATGCAAGTTTTAAAAATATATTAGAAAAGGAAACCACACTGTAGCACTCTCCTCCCGTCGTTCATCGGTTTGCTCGAGTGGGCACCAGGAATGTCTCCATTGTGAGACTTGTTACTGCTTTGGGCCTATTGAATAGGCTGCAGGGAGCTTGCCAGGCTCTGCCTTGTGGGTGGGAGACTCTCAGTAGCTTGCCGGGCTCTCTGAGAGGGGCGGAGGAATGGAACCCAGGTTGGCCATGTGCAAGGCAAACGCCCTCCGTGCTGTGCTAGCTGATCCATTTGTAAAATGTAGAGGCCTTTCTTTCCGTGGAATTTAAGCTCACTGATGAGCAAACTAGAATTGCGCTTTCCTTCGTGGGTCTAGTGTGGCCTTGTTCTTTTAAATATATGCATCAGTAAAAGAAAAATGTACTTCTTCCTAGGTTTGTATTACAGAGACTGTCAGTTGATTTCCAAAGAGCGTGTTACCCATGACACAGAACTTTTCTGCTTGTTGCTGCCACCAAGCTCTCATCTCCAGGTGCCAATTGGGCAACATGTTTACTTCAAGCTAACTATCTCAGGTAAGTTTTTTTTTTTTAAAAAAAGAAAGCTTTGGGGAAATCGTTTTTTCTTTGATAAGCATCTCAGAGCTGTACTTCTACCTTTTGGAAGAACATCTAGATTATGAATAAATATTTCTAGGCGCTAGACTTGGTGATAACCAAACAGAAAGTTGTGGATAACAGAGTTCTGTGTGTTGGAGCAACAGCCGTTCTGTCTGTTGGTCAAGAACAAAGACATCTCCACTCGTGCGAGAGATGGTCGTCGGTGTTGTGATTTGCATCCAGCAAAGCCCTGACTGTCGGTCGTCAGAGAGTGCACAGAGGAAATGTCGTGTTTACAGCAGCTAGAAATCCACACAGCATCTCATGCTAGTTACTTGTGGTTGTGTCATTTATGTAGTGAAAATCACACAATTCACAGTATGTGATTGTAAAAGTTATTTCCTGTGTGCACCACCAGAAAGAAAAGCCCTGTAAGTTTGTGGCTTCTGAATTATTTTTTTATTTTCATCTCAAAATTACCCTTTATTTTAAATATCTTTTTTTTTAATTTATATTTATTATCTATCTGCTTTCGGAAGTGCGAAGTGATATATGTCTATGGCCTAGTGTTTCCGGCAGGAAGTCCAGCAGACTACCAGGCAGGAGTTGGTAGTTTTACTGCCAGATTACTATATCACCGTAGCATTTTTCTCTTCCTTCTTACTCATGCTCTGTTATCATTTAGTATCTGGTATTCTCAGTGCAGTGATTATCAGTGTATTGTTAAAAAAAAAAACAGATGGAGAGCTGGACTGATAGTACATCAGGTAAAGCATCTGCCTTGCACGCATGTTATCTGGGTTTGATCCCCGGCGCCCCATACTGCCCCCCAGGAGTGACCCCTGAGCACAGAGCCAGGAGTAAGCCCTGAGCACCACTGGGCATGGCCCCAAAGCCAAAAGCAACGATAAAAACAAAAATAGATAGTTTAATTTTGTATATGTCAAGGAGCCATGTATAAAATTTTGGTCTTTCAGATATGTGTAAATTCCTATTTCTTTGGAATTTGATTACCTAAAATATTGCATTGGGCTGGAGCGATAGCACAGCGGGTAGGGCGTTTGCCTTACATGCAGCTGACCTGGGTTCAATTCCTCCACCCCTCTTGGAGAGCCTGGCAAGCTACCGAGAGTATTTTGCCTGCATGGCAAAGCCTGGCAAGCTACCCGTGACGTATTTGATCTGCCCAAAACAGTAACAACAAGTCTCACAATTTGCTGAGACGTTACTGGTGCCTGCTCGAGCAAATTGATGAACAACGGGAGGACAGTGCTACAGTGCTAAAATATTGCATGAATTCTGCTACTTTTTTACCCACTTTTAGTATTATGCTGTAAGAAGTAATTGAATTATCATTGTTTTCAGACACAAATCTACATATAAAAACATTAAAGCAATTCAAAATATATAAATTAAAAGGTAAAACTTTTCATTTGCATGTACTGAAGTCTCATCTTTGTTCAGCACTGTTAAAATATTGATCTGAGGGGTTGAGCACATTTATCGCTTTGAGTTCACAAGCACCACTGCATGTGGCATCCTTAAGAATTTTTTTTATTTGTTCTAATTAAAATATGTAAATATTTTCCTATATCTGTGGTATACCTTTGATGCCATTGCAGTTTATATATGATAATGGAGTTGATGGCTTAAAGTTTATCAATGTTTGCCACCTATTAAAAACAAATTACTTATCAATAATTGACTTGTTAAAGTTATTTCAGCTGGCATCTGAGGGTGTAACTTAATGTTGTGTACCTGTCTTTCAGACGCAATCCCTAGGTTTGATCCCTGGCACTGTCAAAAACAAAAACAAAATTGTTTCAGAACATGTACTTAGAGTTTATGGACACATTCATGCATATAGGACTTAGAATTATATATGCTATCGTTGTATCTAGTTCAGATAATGTGCTCATTGCTTCCTAAAATGTATGTTTCATTTTATTCAGAAGTTTTTAGAATTAAATTTGTCGTGATTTTTTTAGGTAAAGAGATAGTGAAGCCATATACACCTGTGTGTGGTTCCTTACTCCCAACGTCCGAGGAACCGGTTCTTCACAATGACAAACACATCTATTTTTTGATCAAAATTTATCCCACTGGACTCCTCACACCAGAACTTGATCATCTTCAGATTGGTTAGTATTTGTGTGTGTGTGTGTGTATGTTTTGTACTAGATTGGATCACATCTTTGATACTGTCCAAGTTATCTCCATGTAAGGGTTGAACGTCTTAAACGCAGAGTATCTACAACCAAAGTCCTGTTCTCTTTATCTCACTCACCCTGCGTATTCTTATGCCTTCTTCTGTGTTGGTTGCATCATCACGGTTTGTTCTTGGCCCAGTCGGACGCTTGAATCATTCTTAGGGCCTCCCACTTTTCTCTCCCAGCCCCTCTGCCAACTACTAAGCTGCAGTTAGCCTGCTTTCCAGTCACATCTAAATCTTTTTTCCATGTCTTTATCACCATTATAGCTCAAGCTGTCGTAACCCTTTCTCTCATCTTGTCCTCTGACTGTTCTCCCTCGGCTGCCTCTAGCTGGTGTCTGTCTCTGTTTTTCTCTGTGCTTTCCAGTTCTTTTTTCCAAGCTACCCTGATGATAGATTTAGTCTATTACTTTTCAGCTTTGAAAGCCCTTAGGGGTCCCCATTATCCAGCTGGTTATTTTTTCTCTATCGGTGACATCACAGTGACAGCAAAAGGTCGAAAACCACTGCTCTGCATGACCTATAGAATGCTCTCTCCAACTTCATCTCCTGCTGTGGAAGTATTAGAACTACTCAGTTTTTTTTAAGTCTGTTATTTTTTCATAGACACGTGAAATTTTTTTACCTAGGATTATGCTCAGCAATCTTTTCTTTACTCCTCACATGCCATTTTTCTTTTAAAGATACAGGCTGAATAGTACTTCTTTTTTGAAGCCTCTCTCTTTTCCTCTGAACTCCCCAATAATTAACACTTTGTTGAGAGCTCGTAGATGAGAATAATGTGTTTTCTCTATAAAACTTTGAATGAAAGGGTAAGGATTCTTATCTTTCCACGCCACACGCAATGTTAATTGTTGTAGAGTGGGCTCTCAATAAATGTGCTTGGAAGAATTAGTAAATGGACTATAATGGATTATAATTAAAGACTTATAGATTCTTCATCCTGTTCCCACAATTGTTTTCTGTCTTCAACCTTTCATTCACTGCCTTTGCCAAGAATGAAAGTGCTCCTCCCCCAAGACAGCATTTAGCAGTAACACCAAGTTAAAACTGAAGTGGATTATTAAATTTGAAAAATAATTACACTCTAAGTTAAACTTAGATGTCTATACATAATAGACGTGATTAGGCATCTATGGCTAAATTAAGCAGAAAACAGTATAAATATGAACATCAGTAATTTTGCAGTACCCTAGTGAAGGTTATCTTGTGAAGGTTTGATATATGATTGTGGTATCAAGTTCGTTATCGGAATTATCCAGGCAGATCGCTCCACCAACTAAGAACGGCCATGTACCACCACCTACGGAATTGAGAAAGAGCCATCAATCTGTCAGTCCTGTCCGTGTCCGGGCCGGGTGAGGTTTCCCGTGTTGTGTCAAATTAAGCCGCAGGCTCTACTCCCGGTGGTGCCCTTCCGTCAATTCCTCTAAGTTTCAGCTTGGCAACCATACTCCCTCCGGAACCCAAAGACTTTTGCCTGCGCAGCAAAGCCTGGCAAGCTCCCCGTGACGTATTCGAGATGCCAAACACAGTAACAACAAGTCTCAAAATGGAGACGTTACTGGGCCCGCTCGAGCAAATCGGTGAACAACGGGAGGAGAGTGACAGTGACAGTGTGGTAGCAAGTAGAAATTATTGACTGTGTTTGTAGACTATAGAAATTGAACCGAGTATAGAGGAGAATTAGCCAAAATAGAGGCTCCCACATTTAAACCTGAATCCGCCACCCTCTTTTCAAACAAACAAACAAAAAATACTCTGGAACCCCCTGGAAAACTACCTTCTGTAAGCGAATACAAAAAGTGCCCTCAAATTGCACCTGAGTTTACAACTGATCATTGCAGCACGCTCTAGGGGGCAGTTGCCTCCACTTTGGGAAAAACTGGCCGAGCTAAAAAACAAAATAAGTGTGTTTTCAGTTTTTTCCCAAGCTCCAGACATGGCACAGATTCTTTATAATTTAGAGGGTTGTATACTGGTGTGTAGTGATAATTCATGAAGCTTTCTCATGTCCTAAATGAAGTACACTATAAAATTGTCTGTGTGTGTGTTTAAACCCTTTGTTCATCAAGTAACTTTCATCTGAGGACTTTGATCTTTAAAATGTCGAATAAATGAGATGCCCTAGATAGAGTCTAGTCCAGGTGGCACGTTGCAGATAGCTTGACTCAAAATCACCAGCTGATCTGGCCTGTCATTTGTTTTACTTTTTTTTCCCTTCATTTTTCAGTAATTTATTATTTTTTTTATTCAATCACCATGAGATAAGAGTTGTAAAGTTGTTTGTGATTGGGTTTCAAACGATACAGAATTCAGTATCATTTTTAAATATCTTTTTGACTTTAAAGTTATATCTGACTATAACTAGACATATTCGTATTACTCGATAGACTTCAATGCTTACACGCAAGTCCAGTATTCATTGGTTTTATTAGCACCAGATATCTTGCCTGAATCCAATCTGTCCTGTGACTCAAAAAAGGTGAACTGTGAATAAAAGTTACCAAGTTTATTGAGGCATCTTCATTAAACATTTTGTAGAGTATTCTCAAACTTTCATTTTCCAACCAGAAAGAATATTCTGCTACTTTCTAATACTGACTTCATCAATTTCTGCATGGTTCGTAGTATCCTACTGTGGACAAGAAAGGAAAATGTATGAGGATCCAAGAGTCAAAGTCAGCTAGACAATTTGGAATTGATTTTTGAACTACGGACAGCTTTTTTTTTTTTAAAAAAAGTTATGCTAAAAATTTAACGAAATGCCTTGAGAAATTTCTCTCCTTTGAGTAGAGTTAAAATCAACTGAACTATACAGAATGAATTTTTCAGGCATTTCGATTCTTTGTCATAAATACTCCAAGTATAGTTTTTGATCTTGCTTTATTTTTAGAGGAGTTAAATTCAGAATGACTTTCCTTGTCTTTTCATAGATTTCATGGGGATAAAGTTAACACATTGCTAGTGTAAGATTCAAGAATACGTTCTACTTTCACCTACCAATTTTATTATTATGGTTAAAAATATGTACATCAAGCAATCAACTCTTGATAATGTGTGCTTCTTGGCAGAAGTATGTAAATTAGATGGCTCGAGGAAGTTTGGGGAAATAATCTGGGTAACCGAGTCTTTAAAAAATCTCATTTTTAAATGATTATAATGATAATAGCTAAACAGACTTGAGAGTCTAATGGGCACTCCTAAAACTATATGACTTAAAGACGGAGCTGTATCTGAAAGTTAAGCGTTCCCCCCACCGTGTATCCATGTTTGCCATGTTTGAGACGAGGTAGGTACAGCCTTCTCAGTTTCCCTGATTTTTTTTTTTCTGATTTAGTTTATATTTCATTGTTTAGGAGATTTTGTTTCTGTAAGCAGTCCTGAGGGCAGTTTTAAAATATCCCAGCTCCAAGAATTAGAAGATCTCTTTTTATTGGCAGCTGGAACAGGCTTCACACCCATGGTTAAAATACTGAATTATGCTTTGACTAATATACCCAGTCTCAGGTATGTAATTTTATCTTTAATTACTATCTTTTGTGAGACTGTTAGATTAGTATAAGGTATTCTAAATTGATTACTCGGTAAATCTTAAAAGACATGATCTCTTCCCTCATTCTCCATTTATTACTCTGCCTCAAGTTCTGGCTGTTTCATTGACTGTATTATTTTAATTTTAGTACTTTGGGTTACTTAATTGGCGCTGAAAATAAAGTCATACTATTTTATTTTTAGGCTTTGCATCCATGCATATTTTAAATGTAATTAAAATAGAGTGTTTTTAAATTTTTTTTAAGGAGAGCGAAGCTGATGTTCTTCAATAAAACAGAGGATGATATAATTTGGAGAAGCCAATTGGAGAAATTAGCGTATCAAGATAAAAGGTATTAAAGTGATGCTCTGTGTTTAAACATTCATATGTGTGGAGTCAATCAGTCTGGGCCTGTGTTAGGAGTTTTAATTGATCTGGAAACTTATTGAAAGAAGAAATAAACTAATCAGTTCTTAAAAGGTAAATAATGCACTTAATCTCTCTACCTGCAATGGATACTATTTCATAAGTCTGACATGACATCCATCATCCATATGTCAATAAATTATATACTGGGCTTTATGTTATTTTTTAATGATTTGGTCTCATTCACTGGATTCACTGGAGCAAATTTGGTAACACTAGGTATTTTGAGGGCATAGATCAAATTTTGTAAGCTAGTTTTCTGGAGCCTTTAATATGCTAGACTCTATTGGACGTGGTGAAGGCAGTCCTTATTTATGCTTAAAGATTTTCCTTTTTGTTTACATTAACTCTCATTAATAATTATATCATCAGTGGTCCCCACAATGCACTTTAGAAAATGCCAATATTGGTAATGGAAAAAAGCATGAGGCAAGATAAACTTAGTGGTACAGTAATGGCAAAACATTGGGAAAGGATTTCTATGTTGTGCTAAAAAAAGAAAAAGAAAGGCCTATCACGCAAGAGATTAAAAAGCGTTTGAAATTCTCATCAAAATAGTTAGGAAAGTGAATTGGTCCGGTTAAAATGTTTTCTAAATCGTTTCTGTGATCATTCAAAGTTACTTCTATGAAACTCGAGGCTTCCTAGGTCACAGAAAATATCTGAAGTATGTTTATAATGGAGGTGAAGTGAGAGAGCTCTAGGGCTCAGCCGATGCAGGGACTGACTGACTGCAGGGCTCTTGGGTTGAGTTTGAGCAACCGTGTTCAGAAAGAGGCGCTTCCATGGTTTCTTAGAGTTTTTCTTTCTTTTCTTCCTCCTCCCTTTAATAGTTTTCACAAATGAAGGCTCTCTGGAGTCACATTTAATTAGCCCTTCAGTATTTTCACATACTTAAAACATAAGATTTGTTATGTTTACATAGTTATATGGCAACTTAGAGTATAATTTAAGGAAATACAAATGCCTACGTTATGGGGTATCTTGTTTTTGTTTCTTTGTTTTTTTTTTTGTTTTTTTTTGTTTTTTTTGCTTATTGGGTCACAGCCAGCCGATGCTGATGCTCAGGGGTTACTCCTGGCTCTGCTGCGCTCAGGAATCACTCCTGGTGGTGCTTGGGGGACCATATGGGATGCTGGGAATCGAACCCGGGTCAGCCGCCTGCAAGGCAAATGCCCTACCCGCTGTGCTATTGCTCCAGCCCCCTTGTTTTTGTTTTTACTGATTTTCAAAGTGGAAAGTTGGAAGCAGCATTCGTGAAAAATCCCAGAGATCTAAGTTCTAACTTTTGTTTTATCTTTCGTTACCCTGAATCATTTTTCGAAACTTACTTAACTTTCTATGTCTGTCTCTTTATTGCCAAAATAAAATGAAGTCATCTTTCCTCCTTGCCTCATATGCTGTTGTGAAGATTTGAGAAAATAGTTTAAATGCTTTGAGAACTGTGAAATTCTACCTCAGATATTTGAACTGTATTATTGAGGCTCTATACACGTGTTCTGTTTCTGTATTAACTATTTGGGCTCCTATTTTTTTTTTAATTTAATATAAAGAGAAATAGCTAGACTTTTCCTTAGCATTTTAAAAGTCATTTCTGGCAGCTTTTGTGACTTACACAAGAAATGAACAGGCTTTGTACTTTTGTCAAACTTTAGTCTTAAAAGTTAACTTAAGGGGCTGGAGTGATAGTACAACGGGTAGGGAGTTTGTCTTGCACTCGACCAACCTGGGTTCGATTTCTAGCATCCCATATGGTCCCCGAGCACCGCCAGGAGTAGTTCCTGAGTGCAAAGCCAGGAGTAACCCTTGTACATCGCTGGGTGTGACCCAAAATGGAAAAAAAAAAAACATAGTTAACTTGACACTGTAGTTAAGTCTATTAATAGGAATTAAACTTGACTTAAGAAAAAATATGTCGGGGCTGGAGCGATAGCACAGCAGGTAGGGGGTTTGCCTTGCACGCGGCCGACCCAGGTTCGATCCCTGACATCCCACATGGTCCCCCAAGCACCGCCAGGAGTAATTCCTGAGTGCAGAGCCAGGAGTGACCCCTGTGCATCTCTGGGTGTGACCAAAAAAAGCAATAAATAAGTAAATAAAAAGCATAACCCTTTAAAAATAAAGTTTATAACATTATTTTATGTAAATAGTAGAATCTGTTGATGGACTGAATTTTCCCCCTTTGTAAAATTCTTACATACTTACATAGGGAAATGCATAGGGAGAAAAATGACCCACAGTCCTGCCATCGAAAGACCTTTCATTAACAGTACAGTGTGGATTTTATATTCTCCCACCCTCCATCCTGTTCAACCCTTCTCTTTTTCTCTTTCTCACACGTGTGCACATAATGCGTTTACATATTACATATTTTTTAAATATTGTCACGGTATACTTTGAGTAATCATATCTTTCATTTAGTATATTGTGCATGCTCAAAGCACATAAAACTCTTTTTTTTTTTTTTTTTTTTTTTTTTTTTTTTTTTTTAGCTTTTTGGGTATATAAAACTTTGAACCAGTGATTCTCGACCTGAAGTGATTTTGTCCCTCTGTTGCCCAACACTCCATGGAGCATTTATATTTGGAGACATGTTTGATAGTAAAAACTGATGACGGTAGTTCTAGTGCCTAGTTGGTAGTGATTAGGCCTTCTTCTAACATAGACCAGTGCACAGCTTTAGGAGGAATCCTGCACTGCACTGATTTCTGCCGTTGTTCATCGATTTGCTCGAGTGGGCCCAGTAACGTCTCCATTGTGACAATTGTTACTGTGTTTGGCATATCGGCTACGTCACGGGTAGCTTGCCAGGCTTTGCCGTGCGTGCGAGATACTCTCGGTAGCTTGCCAAGAGGGGCGGAAGAATTGAACCTGGGTCTGCCAACGTGCAAGGCAGGCGCCCTACCCGCTGTGCTATGGACAATTTTTTTCTTTTTCTTTTTTTTTAATTTTTTTATTTATTTTTTTGCTTTTGGGTCACACCAGTGATGCTCAGGGGTTACTCCTGGCTCTGTGCTCAGGAATTACCCCTGGCGGTGCTTGTCAGCCTATATGGGTGCTGGGGATTGAACCCAGGTCGGCCGCATGCAAGGTAAATGCCCTACCCACTGTACTGTCGCTCTGGCCATCGCGGGGGGGGGGGGGGGGGGGGATTATTTCTGATCCCCCAGTTTTGCAGTTAGAAAAAGCTGAGCTGGGCTGCGGGGCGGAGGGGGGGAGATTATTTCTGATCCCCCAGTTTTACAGTTAGAAAAAGCTGAGCTGGGCTAACGTCATGTGATTGAAGACCTTGAGTGTAATTCATGCATTAAATACAGTGCTGCTGACCTATATTGCCTACAGGCTCTGAGCCTAATGACTGCGGAGGGTTTCAGTTCTCTGGTTTCACGTAGATAGAGACTCAGTAATGCTTTAACTCTGGTTCAGAGAGCCAGAACCAATGATTCCAGAAGCATAAGTAGACTGAACATTGTGTCTGAACCCCATTGCACATGCGCGCCAGTTACTCAGAGTGAAACACTGCTCTCTGTTCCTCCAGGATATTCTCACATTGCTTGTTTCTTGGAATGTATTCTTGAGATGTTGATGTGTTCCCTCTAAGGAGCTCTGTGATTAAATAAGTTTGAGAGGCAATGTGTACTGTATCACCTTCTTGAAGACTTGAAGATCTGCTTTGATTTTAGAATTTTCAAGACTTGGAGAAATGATGAGGAAATCTCTTTGCCTTGTTTTAACGCAGTCATCCTAAACTCATTTGATTGCTTTTTTTCCCCACGAGCTACCATTAACATCTGGAGGAGCGTTAGTATTTTATGACTCATTTTTGAGAAATGTTTCCGTAATGTGTATATATAATCTAATTTTAATCCCTAGTTGTTTGTCTTGTGAGTTATTTTCCCATGAAGAAATAACAATTTTTCTGCTGTTCTTTGAATTTTACTTTATTGAAGAAACCAGGAAAAGCTAGGGCCTTACATACTCTAAAATATTTTGTAGATCATGCTGTACCAATGGAGCTTTATAAAGCGAAAGGTTGTAGAGCCAGTTTTTTTTTTTTTTAAGGAGAATTGACACGCAAAGATGTGTCAGAGGCTATTAGAACTGTGTTTTACATAAGAAATAAAAGTGCCTGTTCTGGACCGGCAGCAGTGAGAATGGGAAGAGAAGGACCCAGAACGATAGTATAGCAGGTAGGCCACTTGCATTGCAAGCAGCTGGCCCAGATTTGAACCCTGGAACCTTACGGGGTTCCCCAAACTGCCAGGACCAGTCACTGATTGCAGAACCAGGAGTAAGCCCTGAGCACCCCCCAAAAAAAACAAGTTGGGGGAGAGGGAAGGACTTACTGGAAGGAAGAAGAAGAGACTTTGCTTTGGAAGCTAGGTGATAGGAGGAGAGGGAATAAATTACTGGGTGACTTCTTTGATTTAGATGGAATAAGCTTGTTTATGGGCAATAGCACAGCGGGTAGGGCATTTGCCTTGCACGCGGCTGGCCCAGCCAAGCCGGGTTCGATTCCTCTGCCCCTCTCAGAGAGCCCGGCAAGCTCCCGAGAGTATCTCGCCCGCACGGCAAAGCCTGGCAAGCTCCCCGGGGCGTAGTCGACATGCCAAACACAGTAACAAGTCTCACAATGTTACTGGGCCCACTCGAGCAAATCGATGAACAACGGGAGGTCAGTGCGGTGCTGAGTTTGTTTATATTCCAAGACTCCGCGTCTCAGGTCTGTTTTAAGATGGATTTTGATGTTCATCTACTGTTTGCATCCATTCCCATTTAGAAAACATAAGCACTCATCAAAAGGAGGTGGATGTTGATGCTTCTTCCCCTCTCTGCTTTCTTCTCCCACCGACCCCTGCATTCACGCACTTCATGGGTTTGTGGGTGCTCTTAAGTTTTTCAGGAAATTTTTCAAGAGTGATGTTCCTTTCTGCCACCTTTGAAATACAAAGCCAGAAAGAAATTGCGGGACATTTACGAGTGTGCCCCCCACTCACCCCTCAAATCTGAAATTACTTGCAGTCAGTTGATCTTTATTCAGAATAATACAAGAAGAAAAGACTCTAGACGCCCTCTGTATCTTAGAATCAGAAATCCTTTGACATACCCTTTAGTCTTCTCAGGGAATCGTTCCTATTCCAGTTCAGGCTCTTTCCAGTCCTGCAGAAGAGGCGAGCTCGGTAGTATTCTCTCTGCGTTATCCTTAAAAATTGCACCGACGGTATCTGTTTAGATTTTCTGTTGAGTGTTGGAAAGTCATGCCGAGAGACTGTTGTGCAGACGAACAGGGGAGGTGTGAGTGTATGCCATTTGTGTAAGGACTGCAGCTTTTTAAGCTCCTGGAGGAAAAGAAAAGTAGGAATGTTTGCAAATGAAGAGATGCCATTATTGACTTATATATCTCAGCAATTTAATCCAGTTATAGACACCTTGGAAATAGAATTAGAGGAAACTGTCTTTCATTTTTAATTTAAAAGGTTGTTGCTGTCTCTGTTTAATTTGTCTGTGGATCGGGGCCAGAGAGCTAGTACAAGGTTTAAGGCACTTGCCTTGCCTGTGGCTGACACTGGTTTGATCTGTGGCATCACGTATGGTCCCCTTGAGCATAAACCCAGGAGTAATCGACTCCTGAGCACCAGCTAAAAAATAATAAATTGGCTGTGTGAAAGCTGCAGCTTCTCACAAGTCCCTTTTGGAAAGCTAATGGAAGGTCATGGCCCTTTTCTTTCCCCCCCCCCCCCCCCCCGAGAAAGATGCACTGATACATTCACATACAATTTTTATAATTTCTAGGTGCCAGAATATTGCTGTCTTCTTCTGAGCACAGTTTTTCCTTTTAACCATACAGCTTCTTTGTCAATAAATTCCTTTATTCACACAAGTGTGTTTTGCATACTTTCTTTGGATCAGGTCGGTATACAGTGTTATCAGATAAGGGCCCTGCTTTTATGGAGTAGTAACTGAACAATCTGGGATTGTATAAGTCGTCTCAATTTTCAGTGATAGGAAAAAATAAATTAGGGGGAGAAAATATGGGGACAAAAGTGCTGTCTGCACAGGGTGGGTTTGTATCGCCTCTGAGATTTAAGTAGGAACCTCTAAGGTAAGAAATAAACCGTAACGATTGTGTAAGGGTGCTGGAGAGAGAATACGGTTGGGTCGGGTGCTTGCTTTGCCTTGGATTCGTTCCCCAGTCACCTGGAGTAACCTCTTGAGCATCACTGGGTGTGGCCCCCAAAACAAAAACAATTGCATAGGAGGATTTGGGTGGGTGGGAGGGGTTGGGGGCACACAGCTAGACCAAGAATGCTTAGGGCTTCTCTTGACGAGAAATATCCCTTTCGCTCCTGGCTCTGCGCTCCGCGATCCTTCCTGGCAGGCTCAGGGAAACTTATGTCATGCTAGGGCTTGAACCAGGGTCAGACGTGTGCAAGGCAAGAGCCTTTCCCAGTGTTCTGTCTCTTCAGCCCAGTGTACAGGGTTTTTGATGTGGAATCAGATTGTTAGAATTATAAGAAGTCATGTAGCTTCCCACTTGATTCTCACTTGATTCCACAGGTAGACGGAGGAGTCCCTGTGCGTGAGAAGGGGCGGGTTCTCTAGTCCCATGGTGCACTCAGTGGGTCTGCGTGCCTGGGCCAAGCTAGGAGACGCCTGGGTATCATTAACCCAGCGGCAGCAGAGCGGGCTGGGGGCAGCGCATCAGGCAAATTTGGTTTTGCTCTGTTATTTCTCCATCTCACGAGACAAATATCCCTTCAACTCTTTCATGAGATTGAGATTAATGTATAGTTCTTTCTTTCCATTCCTGAGAATAATGTCTGTTACCCATTGGGAAAATGTTTTAAGAATGCATTTTCCCTGATGCTGGTGAAACTGGAATGAATTGTGTTTGCTCAAAGGGAGCAAAGGGAGCAGATGCAATGTGGAATGTTGAAATTTCTGTGACTTTACCTGCAGTCATCTTGACAGGTTGCAAAGCTGTGGGAAGAAGTAGTCTCTAGTTAAAATGTGAAACTTGGAGTTGGAGCAGTAACACGGTGGGTAGGGTGTTTGCCTTGCACGCGGCCGACCCGGGTTCAATTCCCAGCATCCCATATGGTCCCCTGAGCACTGCCAGGGGTAATTCCTGAGTGAATGAGCCAGGAGTAGCCCCTGTGCATCGCCAGGTGTGACCCAAAAACAAAAAATAAAATGTGAAACTTGGTTTGATGGGCTACTTTTTCACTTTAATTCTGTACCCTTTATTTTTCTTTCCTTCGTGTTTCTATACTGTCTAATACCTCCTGTGTGAGGGCCACTAAGATACACAGTGTTAGCTAAAGCAGTTACGGATCTCATGGCCTAAACTGAAGAAGGCAGACGCCACCAGAGCAGTCATCGCTGTAATCAGATGGGCCACAGTGCGGTGCTGCTCTCTCTGCGAACACTGTTGGTGTAGCTGTATGTGGAATGGGGAGATGGTGAGCTGAACTTACTGTGCAGCACGAGTTAAAGGTCACACGGGCTCTTGGCTATGGGGTTCCAGACCTGACTTGTTGGAGAGGTTTGCGCCTGAGATCAAACTGTCCATGTTACTGGCAACTACTCTTGACTGTGATTTATACAAGCACATAATTCACAGGAACATGGTGTTCTCTGGGATCCCTGGGGCTTGCTTTCTAATGAGTTCAATAAGAAATGCCAAATTACTGTTCTCAGAGTAGTTCTTAGAAGAGTTAAAGTGTAGTAAGTAGAGTTACGAGTGTGTTCGTGTTAAATCTTTGCATTGATTCTATTCCAGTATTTTTCTAGACCATCTCAGTCTTTTATATTAATTGTTCTGGGGGAGAGGGGGATGTTTTAGTGAAGTAGAAACATGAGAATAATAAGTTGTCTTAAAATGTTTCTTTTCTCTAGATTTGATACTGAATTTGTTCTCTCAGCGCCTACTTCTGAATGGAATGGCAGACAGGGACATATTTCACCAGCTCTTCTTTCTGAATTTTTGAAAAGAAGTTCAGAGGAATCCAGAGTCCTTATCTGCATTTGCGGCCCACCACCATTTACAGAGAAAGGAGTAAGGTTAGTGGAAATGTGGTAGGAACAACGGGTACCCAACAACAGGAAACGGAAGTCTTCTTTAACAGACCATTAATTTCATCCCTAGCACTTCTGAGTCAACCAGTCTGTACTTGGATAATCTGTTAGATTAAACTTTTTTCATTCTGACCCTTTCCAAAACCTGAGAAATTTTTAACTCCAGGTATGTAGGTATATAACCTGAAGTACATAGGATATAAAGCAGGTCTGCAAATCCAACATCTACTAATAATAAAGCCAAAAAAACCCAAAAAACTATTTTAAAGCCCCCCCAAAAAAGTTTTTAATGATTTTGGGGCTTCCCCAGAAGTTCTTTGGCTCAGGGATCAAATCCAGGCATGAAGAGTAACCCTGCTACCCTTCTGTCTCCATCTCTTAAAACAAACAAAGTCTGAGATCCTGTACAAGATAGCAGGTTAAGAAGCAAGGTGTAATTTCTTTGCCAAACAAATTAGCAAAATTTTAAATCTCGTGCTGATGAAGAGTTTTGGTGGCCAGGATATAGATAAATTAGATAGATGATAGATAGATAGATAGATAGATAGATAGGTAGGTAGGTAGGTAGAGATATGGGCACAAAGGTAAAATATAACCAGTTCTGGTCTCTGCTAGTGACTAGCCACATGAACGTTTTCACAATTTTATTTGGGGCATTAGATTAGAATTAAACTTCTTCCACCACAGTTTTATAATGATGGTAGATTAATGAGAATGGTAGATTAATGTTTATGTCACCATCTTCTTGTTTTTTTCTCATTAATTTTGGTCCGTATCAGCTATGCTTATGGGCCACTCCTGGCTTTGTGCTCAAAGATTGCTCTGGACAGTTGGGAGACCTTACGGTGCTATGGATGAAACGAGCACCAGTCGCATGCAAGGCAAACACCTTACTTAATGCTTGTACTGTGTTTCTGATCAAATATTTTATTTTTAATTTTAATTATGAAAATGATTACTTAAGGAGTTTTTGTAATACATTTAAAAGTTATTTTAGTTATATATAAGTTCTTCTGTTTACCGTCTCAAATTAAGGAAAACCTCGTTACTCTTTAAGCTTTTTCTTATTTTCAAGTTCAAACAAATGGATATTTAATATATGATGTCATTATTATTGCTATAGTATTAGTAACATAGAATATTAATGATAGTTTGAAAAAATATTTTAGAAAAGAAAGGCTAAGAGCTGTACTATCTTAGAAGTTTAACACTTAACAGATCGCAGCATAACAGCTCTTTCAAAGATTGTAATCAAACTCCTGTCAGTACTGAACTATAGCATCAGGGAAGGAGCGTTAATAATGTGTAAAAGAGTAATATGGAAACTGCCATGAGGCAATCCATATTACCGCAATTATTTTTCATTTTCTTAAAGAGGATGGGGGGCTGGAAAGATAGGACAGTGGGTAGTTTTGCCTTTGCCAACCTGGGTTCAGTCTCTAGCCCCCTAAGTAGGGCCACTTAGTCCTGTTTCCATGGGCTCGGGAGAATTCCCTTAGACAGCCGCCTCAGAGAAGTGGATTCTTTTGTTGTTTTGTTTTGTTTTGTTTTGGGGGCCCAAACCAGTGGTGCTCAGGGGTGTCTACTGGCTCCGTACTTAGAAATCTGTCCTGTCGCGCTGGGGGACCATATGAGGTGCCAGGGGTTAGAACCTGCATCAGCTGCAGCAAAGCAAGCACCCTACCCCATGTCCTGTCTCTGGCTTCAAGAAGTAGATTGATTTTCTCCCCTGGATTTTGGGCTTCCTGTTGGTTCCCTGCAAGACTGTGCCCACCTCTTTACAACTGGAATCTTCCTGTGTCATTGAATATGTAATTGTATGCAGTCTTCATGTGTAATTCTGTTTAGTATGTAATTCAGCAGAGGACAGCAGAGCTGAGATCTTAAAAGTTTCCCATTTTCAGTCTTGCCTCTTGTCTTTAGAATTAATTGTATTTCCTCAACTTGACCTCTATGATAGCTTCTCTAGTCTCTGCTAGCCGACTTGCCAAACTTGTGTAGGAATATTACTCGTCATCCTATGTGGGTCCTGCTGTTATTCACCCAACAGCACGTACCGTATAAATATTAAAGTAGGAATAGGAATGCAACAAAATTAAGACCGGGAGGTTCTCACAAAAATCTGACCTTTACCAACAGATTAACTGAAGGACTGAGAGATGGGAAGGGGATCTTACAGATTTTAAGGTGCTTCAGGTGCTTCAAAGATTGATTTAAGCACCTTAAAATTTTAAGACTTATTACTCCTGCACGCTGAGAAAACTTCCATTGAGTCTTGATTCAAATGCTTTAAAATGATGGCATTTATCAGACAGTTAAACACTGGCTCTATACTTGATGACATTAAGAAATTACATGTTTTACATGTTATAATTGGGGGATGGTTAAATACATAGAAATTGGAAAGTAGAAAAATAGTATCTATTATTATAAAAGTATATTATGTCTGTGGCAAACTTTGATTTTTTTTTTTTAAGGAGCATTTTCCTTAAGAAATACATGCTTTGTTTTTCAGGTTGCTGCATGATCTTAACTTCTCTGAAGAGGAGATTCATAGTTTCACAGGATAACGGAGAGCGGCCACTGTACTTAACTGTTTATCTAAATTTGTGATTGTTGAGGGTTTTCTAAGCAACTTTTTTGTGTCTCTTGGAAGGTTCACTAGAATCCAGGCTTCAGTTTCTTAAGTGAAATCAAATGTTCCTACAGTATAGATAACTCGTTGGTTTATTTTGTACTGTAACTTATTTTACTACTGATACTTGACCTGGAAAGTCAATCATGGCAGCAAATACATACAGGATTCTTTACGAGGAATCAGAGTCCTTTGCCATTTAAACTTTATCACTGTCCTACAGTAAGCTCTTGTGTTTTATGATATGATAAATGATCATTTTTATCACATTTCTATGCTATAAAATGTCTTATTAGCAATACAGATTCAATTTTACATTGCACTGTCAACTCAGGAAATGATTGTTTATGTCCTTGTTATTAATATGAAAACATGGAATGTTGAATTTACGTGATCCAAACATTTTGTGTGTACACAGTGTTGATACGAAGTAAATAAAAATACACCTAAGCACTTTTTAATCATCGTGTTAAAAATGTATTTGAATGCAACCGTTGCTAAGGGAAAAAAATGGAATTGCCTGTGTATGTAGTGGGGCCACCCCTGGGGGGCGCAGAGCTCAGTGCTGGAGGTGCTGGTGGGACCGGATGTGTTGCGGGGGATCAGGCAGGCTCAGCGGTATGCAGGGCGGGTTCCTGAACTCCTGTGCTATCTCTGGGGCCTTGTCTAAGGGAAATGGAAAAGAGCAACAACAGAAGATGCAGAAGAAAATTCATCTATGAATGATTAGGTGTGTTGGGCAGCTGAAGAGACGGTGGTGCCAACTATTAATGTTCTTAACTAAAATCGGAAGCATCGAAAACGAATGAAAGGGGCTGGAGTGATAGCACAGCGGGGAGGGCGTTTGCCTTGCACGCAGCTGACCAGGGTTCGATTCCCAGCATCCCATAAGGTCCCCTGAGCACCGCCAGGGGTAATTCCTGAGTGCCAGCCAGGAGGAGCCCCTGTGCATCACCAGGTGTGATCCCAAAGCAAACCAAAAAAAAAACAAAAAGAATGACAATGAAACCTCTTGCCCGAGGGCCTAAAATAAATCATTTGGTTCTGTGGGGTGCATTCCATGTTAATTCCTTTGAGCCCATCGAGAGTGTGAAGAACTCTGTCTTCAGTGGGTCTGCTTTGCCCATGGCGATTTAACCCAGAGCCCGCCTGAGTGGTCTGTGTGGGTAGCTGACTCATTCTCCCTTCCTGCTGCTGTGTGCAACCTTCAGATACTTTCCCGTCCTGAAATTGAGCAAAGGGTATAAGAAAGTCATTCTGAGCCTTCCAAGAGGAACCACCGTTGAGCGCAGGATTCTTCATGGACTGTATCTGTGTTGTCAGCAGCACAGAGTTTGAGGTTCTCCAGTTTCCTGTAGACGATTTTTGCTAGATCTCTGTGGAATGATGGAAACACCCAAGAGGAACACAATATGAATTGCCTCGAGTTACAAACACCCAACACTCAGGAAGCTCCTATGTCACATGCTCCGTTAGAAAGTCCTGTTTTCCTGCGACTCCCTCTTCTGTGGCCACGTCTGCCCTCGTCAGCACTGGCCCAGGCAGGAATCCCTCTCAAGCTCACTGTGCTCCTCTGCTCCTGGCAAACTACAGGAGCGTGCTCCCAGCCCTGCTTGCAGTCACTTCCTTCTTGCTCTGAAGAGTGATTGAGATTTTTCTAGACAAACCTTACTGTAAAATATCCATTCATTATACCTCAGCCAACAGCTTCATTTTTTCTGGGTTTTTTTTTTTACCCCTTTCCCTTTATTTTTTCCTAATGATTATAAACAAACAAAATGTTCTTTCTATTGCTCTCTTGTTTCTTCTTCATTCCATATATATATAGTGTGTGTGTGTGTGTGTGTGTGTGTGTGTGTGTGTGTGTGTGTGTGTGTGTGTGTGTGTGTTGGGCCACACCGACTGTACTCAGGGCTTACTCCTAGCTCTGAGCTCAGGGAGAACTCAGAGCCAGGCTCACCAGGCTCAGGAAGAACTCAGGCCAGAACCCAGGCTCACCAGGAGGATTGTGAGCTTGGAAGAACAAGTGGGGGGCCAGGGATGGAACCCCGGTCAGCGTCATGCATGGCATGTGCCTACCTACTATCCCACGGGTCCCTCTTAATATACAGGAAAGAAAGTCTAAGCATTTTCTGAGCCATTACGTTAATAAATCCCAAATTACAGTCCCTAATGTGAATCAGTTCAGTTTTCAACATCCAGTATCCTCTTGGACTTACATAATGTCCTCAGCTAGTCTTTTCCCTTGATTATTTCTCCTCAAGTCAGTTCGTTCTCTTGAATCCTCTGAACTCCTAGCCCTTCTGGAGGCATAAGGTATTTCCTTCTCTAATCTGACTCCTATGTCCAGCCTTACTGACCTCAGCTAGCTAAGTGCAGTATTCCAATAGTTGGTCTTCCTGGGGCAGTCTCGCCAAAATATATTCTCCTTTCCAGTGTGTTCTAGAAGGCCCTGTAAAAAAAAAAAAATTCTGAAATGAGCCTAAGGGAATTTTCTTCAGGGCTTCCTTGAATATGGTCTGTGTGGTGGGGAATAGAAAACTTTTTTGTTTATTTGTTTTAAAATAATGTAGGAATACTGCTTTTTGTTCAGCCATTGATTAAGCTGATTGAATTGGGCATGAACTCCACATTACTTTTTTTAAAAAAAATTTATCACCGTGAGATACAGTTACAAAGCTTTCATGTTTGAGATTCCCCCACACCATGATGGAACACCCATCCCTCCACCAGTGCACACCTTCCACCACCCACATCCCAGTCCTCACCTTACCTCTATGGCAGGTAATTTCCCCAATATTCTCTCTCTCTGGGGCTGGAGTGATAGCACAGCGGGTAGGGTGTTTGCCTTGCATGCGGCCAACCCGGGTTCGATTCCTGTTTCCCTCTTGGAGAGCCCGGCAAGCTACCGAGAATATCCTGCCTGCATGCCGGAGCCTGGCAAACTCCCCATGGTGTATTCGCTGTGCCAAAAACAATAACAAGTCTCACATTTTGCTGGTGTCCGCTCAAGCAAATTGATGAACAAGGGGAGGACAATGCTACAGACGGTGCTACTCTCTAATTTTGGGCATTATGTTTTGCTCGAAATTTCCCACCACCATTCAAGCCTACCTGCCAGGGGCAGACGCTAGATAATTTATTTTCTGTTGCTCATTTGAATAGCATGAGAGCTTGCACGACCACAATTGTAAATGTAAATTTCTAGAGTGTAAATGGGTTCCAAGACATCTCTGTATGGCACTAATCCATTTTGGGATTCAATTGGGAGTCTCTGGACCAGGGCTGTTGGTGCACTAGGATGGAGCCCTGAGGCAAATTGTGGGTGTGACAGCCAATGTGCTGGGAGGGCGGGGACCCAGGGAGGGACAGCCCAGGTCCTCTGCCACCATGCAGCCTGGAGATTCAGTCCTGGAACCAACATACCTGGGCCTTGCTTGTGGAAACTCTTTGTCACTGGGATTCCATCTGGTGTAGGCGGGGAGACTGCACCTGCTCCATCTGGTCTGCCCCAGAGAAATTGGCCCGGTATGGGGCCCAGAGAGATCTCTGGCGCTGTGGTGTTTTTGTTTGTTTTTTGTTCTGGAGAACCACACCCTGCTGTGCTGCTCAGGGATTCCTCCTTAGCCAATGGGGGACCACACGCCTTACCTACTCTACATCTTTCTGGTCCCTGTAAGTTATTCTTGTGCGAAGAAATCAAAGATTTATAATTACTTATTGGCCAGGAGGAAAGGAAATTACACTGCCATTTTTGTTTAAGGAGTCTGCATGCCTGCCTTTTTTTTTTTCCCCAACGTGGATAGGCATTAGCTTTCTACTGCTGTCAAAACAAATTACTTCATACTCAATGACTCAAAAACAACTCAGCCATTTATTATCTTATCATTCCATGAGTTGGCATTGTGGGGCTCAGCTGATCTGCTGAAGGCCTCAGAAGGTTGGATTTAGTAGGACAGTAGGACGGGGCTCTTCCCTGGAGGCTCTAAAGAAGAATCAGTCGATGGGAGAGTTCAATTCCTTGTGACAGTAGAATGCGTTCCCCATGACCTTTCCAGTCTCTGTTTAGAAACGCTGCACACATGCCTCCTGTCAACTCTGGGCCCTCCAGCATTGCTAGATCCGATCCCTCTCAGGCTTCACCTCTTATTGAATTGCCCTTCCACTACTTTCTCGTCTCAGCTGCAGAAATCTCACTTCTTTTGAAGGCTTGCATGATTAGATGGGGCCTACCTTAGTATAATCTGTTATAATTTTATTTGGTGGGGGTGGGGGGTGGTCCTCACCCAGCTTAATGCTGGCTCTATGCTCAGGGATCACTCCTTGTGAATAAGTTGATTTTAAAATTAACTATTCAGCTGCATAGTCCTTTTGCATCTTCAATATAATTCAAAGGCTTCAGGCTCTATAAGTTATTGACACTTTCAGAGAGGGCATTCTGCCACTGTCATCTATAAAGAAGACAGATTAGCCAACGTAAGCTAATTTGGTGGAGGTTTTTGGCCTTAGTTGGCCAAGGTAAGATCATTTTTTTTTAAACTACTATTATGGGTTCTCAAATTTTACTTAAATGTAATAGAACATGGCAGGAGTAAAAGAATTTCTTTTACACATCACAATACCAAACTAGCACAAGCTAGGCTACTCTTTCCTACTTATGGTCTACCCTTCTCTGCTGAAGAAACTTGTCCTCAACTAAACTGGGCCTGCATCTCTTGCTGGCATTAGGTCTCGCCTATGGACAGATGAGCCAGGATAATGGGCCTACAAGAATAGAAAAGAATTTTCCTTTTTATGATAGATTGAAAGAAGAAAGCGACACCAATCCTAGTCTTTGAGTGTCTTTTTGTTTTGGTTTACCTATAAACAATCTTCGTCCAGGATTGCCAGTTCCTCATGCTTCCAAAGAGAATGCCAGAGCGATCTAGTATGCAAAACCTTTCTTTGTTAAGGGTTTCTAGCTGCCACTGACTCCATACCGAAAGAAGGCACTATACCTCGTCGTGACCTGCCAAGTTTGGGGTCCTGATAGTAAGCAGTGTCCGCCTGGGAGAGGCAAGCAGAGAGGATCCACCAACCTCATAACTTTTAGAGGTGTCTGAGAGGGAAGCATGCTACTGTCCCCTCCTCAGATCATGGTCCAGTCTTTATGGATATGTTCTTTCTCTTCAATGAACAACTTAGCTGGATCATATGGTAACCCCACCTTTACCTCTTAATATTAAACTCATTTTGTATAGTTCACAGTGGTAGGGCATTTGCCTTGCGCGCAGCCAGCCCAGCCGAGCCCCTCTCGGAGAGCCTGGCAAGCCACCCGTGACGTATTCGATATGCCAAACACAGTAACAAGAAGTCTCACAATGGAGATGTTACTGGGCCCGCTCGAGCAAATCGATGAACAACGGGAGGACAGTTTTCTTGTTTTTCTTTTTTTTTTTATATTTCTCCAGGTCTTGTGTAGTAAAATATGCTAATTAGATAATCCTGCTTTAGAATCTACTGTTTGAAACTTAAGAAAATGCCAGTTTTTTTTTT